CATGTCACCGTGCAGTTTCCAATCATCGTGACGTAGCCGGACACTGATCGTCTATCGTCCTCACATCCTGCGTAGTCCGAGTCGGTGAAGGCTCGCAACACGACTGCATCTCCACCAAATTCAAGCCCGTAGTTTTGCGTTGCCTTCAAATACCGGATACAGCGCTTCACCGCCTGCCAGTGCGCTTCGCCATAGCTGCTTAGAAACCTGCTGGCGTCTTGAATAGCGAAGTCCATGTCTAGGCGGCTACCGATCATCTGACATTAGGCTGCCCACTGCCTGGCAGTAGGGTTTCTCGAGCATTTGGGCGATGGCCTCTTCAGTCGCCGGTGCTTGCTGCTTGGTCAGCTTCTTGCCCGCTGCTGTGGGCGTTGCTACTCCTGCGCCGTGCTCCATGTTGAACTTTTTTAACCCTTTCGCGGTAAAAGGATACAGAAATCGCCCTTTAGATGATTTTCCAAAACACGGTAGAGTGTACCCCCTCTTAAAGGGCGCATCCTGTGCCCTTTTGCACAAGTTCAAGCTAGTAATCAACCTTCTTTTAAAACAAATCATAATCGGTACGCAGTAATCATCATGTAATCATTGTCTATACAAATTCTAAGTCATACGCATACATATACATATAATGTATGCGTATGACTTAGAATTTGATGGCATGTCCCATGAGACACACCGAAAAGGCTCCGTAACTTTGTAAAAGGACGCCTAGAGCGCGGAAATATCAATGAGTTGTATACTATAATTTATTGAGGATACTCGCGAAAGGGTTAAAATTGCTTCGGCGTTCGACTGCTGGTTGATCCAAAGTTTTCGGGCGCTACGGTCTTGCGTGATCTTGAGACCGAGAATAAAGTTGACTTCACCGAGGTCCTTCGCGTTGAACGCACTCCCGATGGCCTGCTTGAGCTCACCCATCACACCGACGGACTTGCTTAGAAGCAAAAAATCGTCAACATAGATGGCCACAAACTCCAGCTCATCGCGGCTTCTACGGATGTAGATGCAGGACTCGCAACTTATCTTCTCGAAGCCCTCGCGCGTGAGAAAACTTGTGAGCGCCTGATGCCACGCACGCGGGGCCTGTTTTAGGCCGTACAAGCTCTTGTGGAGCTTGCAGACCCAGTCCTCCTTGCCCGCAGTCACCACCCCTTCCGGCTGCTTCATGTAGACTTCTTCGCTTAGCGTGCTGTTCAAGAATTCAGTTTCAATGTCCATTTGGTGCACCTCGAGATCTTCAATACAGGCAATAGCGAGCAGGACACGGATCGATTTCAGCCGTACCACAGGTGCAAAAATCGCGTCAAAGTCACGATACTTCACTTGCTAGCAACCAATGACAACCAAGCGCGCCTTGTACCTGTCGATCGACCCGTCACTCTTGTACTTCTTCTTGAACAGCCATCGGCATGGCAGTGCACGCTTTCCTGGCGGCAGTCGAACTAGTGTCCACGTTCCATTCGTCTTCAACGAGGCGGCTTCCTTGTTGATGGCGCCTCCCCACAGACGAGCATTGGGCCCAGTCACGGCTTCGTCGTAAGTCCTACGGTCTGCAGCGATGCCAAACGCCGCCAGCAAGCATGCATTGGTTTTGGCATGGACATTTTCTAGCGCGACCAATGCTGCAGCTTCTTGTTGCTTTCGTACTGCATTCAGCACTGGATTCCGAGCAGGAGGCCGCTTGGTAGACACTTGTGGTGCGATCCCATCGATGACCGCGCAAGCCACCCATATTCGTGCAGAAGCGGGAGGACGTGAGCGAAGTTGACTTCGGACAGGTCGAACGAGCTCACGAAGTCCTCGAGAAGCGCAACCTCGTCTACTGTTGGTTTCTCCGCGTGATCCAATTGGCTGTAGAAGAGTAGATCAAGTTCGCTAGTGGCGGAGCGAGCATAGTAGTTGAAGTCCAAAGCTAAGTGGCGGCTCAATAATCGAAATTCTTGTCGGCGTAGCTCTTCCGCAGCAGGAGAAAAAGATTCATCGAACGAAACATGGCACGAGGCAACCACTGTACCGCTTACACAGTCGAGAATCTTCCAGGCCTTTTGATGTGGCGCGTAGCCGACGAAGATACCCCGCACCGCTCGGTAATCAAGTTTATGGCGTTTTGCTGTCCGAGTGGCTGCCCCACCTGGTGCTCCACCTACCGATAGAGTCTTGCGCGGCAAGTACACGTACGCCAGCGAGCCAAACACACGAAGATGCGAGGCATTTGGAGCGAAACCATGCCAGGATTCAAACGGTGTCCGTCGAGTAGTGGTGTTCATCGTGCGGTTTTGCAGGTAGACAACGACTTCAGCCCACAGTTGCTTTGGCGAGTTACTGTCAATCAGGATAGTTCTCACTTTGCTAAACAAAATCCGGAAGCGAACCTCTGCAAGACCGTTCTGCTCTGGTGTGTGCGGTACAGTCGTGCCCCTCTCGATGCCATGTGTCGTGCATAAGTCACGAAATTCGTCGGACAGGTACTTGCCAGCATTGTCGCTCGTGAACTTGCGGAGTGGACGGCTGTGCTTATTTTCGACTGCTGCCTTGTGCTCCAGGACGCACTTGAAAAACTCCGAGCGGCGCGCCAGTAGATAGACATGGCACTACCGAGAAAAAGCATCCACAAGCAGGAGAACATAACGCTTCCCACTCAGCGACGGGATCTCGACGGGTCCACAGATGTCACTATGCACTCCGGAATTGCACTCCAATGTGTCTCGGCGAGGAGCAGGAGGGAACGAACTCCTGCGCTTCGTGCCCAGCTGACATGAATCACAGAGACCCTGGTGAGCTTTCGCCGTTGGGCTCACACGTAGCCCCGTCACCAGCTTGTGCCGAAGCATCTCATCCATTATCGAATGACTGGCATGCCCAAAACGACGATGAGCCAAGTCGTACGTAAGTTCAGGGAAAACGTAAAGAGCCAACTTAGACTTGTTGATCACCTTAAGCACGCACACACCGTTAAGGCTCTCGCTGACCAGGCTGAGAGGTCCTCGCGTGAGCTTCACCTTGCCCGGAGCGGAGTGGAAATCGAACTGAACGCCCTTTTGCGCCAGCTACGTGACCGAGATCAGACTTTTGCGCAGTTCTGGAAGGTACAGCACATCACTGAGCTGCAACAGCTGCAGTTTTCCCCCGCGATCTTAGATATGCAGCTTCACCGTTCCAACGCCCTTCACCTGCGCAGTGGCATTGTTTGCAATTGTCACGACGCCGCCACACAGTTGCAAATCTTCAAACACCTCCTGTACAAAGCTGATGTGCTGCGAGCGGTCACTGTCAATGACCCAGGTGTCCTCGTCGATAGTGCTGGGGGCAGTGGCTGCAGCAATCACCTGTGTATCCTGCTGGACTCCCATCGCAGGAGCCACGACCAGACGGCCCGCCACTGTCATTGCTCGCGCTGCCTCCTCGATGATGAACGGGCAAAGTGGACGGGTCCAGTAGGCATCGGCCACAGTAGGAGAACCGAGGCTGGCAGAATCCAGGCCACCAAAGCCCTCGAGATCTGCACCGTCACTGCCCGACAAAGATTCAGTGGACGCATCAGAGCTGGCTGACGTCTCCCAACTGTCAGACGAAGATGAGCTGGCAGACGACTCAGATGCGCTGACTCCGAGTCCGACTCGTAAAAACCCGATAGACCCCAAACGTCGGCAAGTGTAGCCGAAGACGTGTGCTGCTCGTCGAATTGCTCCTTGGTCTCGTCGGCCACAGCTATGTTCGCGCTTCCGCCACTCATCTCGCTGCGGTGTCGCTTACGCATGGGGCAGTCCGCCTTGTAGTGGCCCTGTTGGTGGCAGTAGTGGCACTCATCGCCCGCTCCATGTCCACGCTTGCCGCGGGCTACATCTCCGTCCTGCTGGTCGCGTTGGCGCCCGTCTCCATTGCGATTGCCTGAGCGTCGGCGCCCTACAGAGCGATTGCCTCGCTGCTGAGTCACCGCGTTAGCCTCCCTGTTGCTCCCCTCTCTCAGTGTACCAATCAACGGGGTGCTGGTGACAGCATTGCGACGAGCCGCCTCTGCCATCACATTTGCCTCCATGGCTGGCCAGGCGATAGGCGTTTCTTGGATGTAGTAGATACTCTTGAAGGAATCCCAGGAGCTTGGCAAGCTGCTCAACAGTTGGCAGACCTTCTCAGCGTCGTTCACAGTTTTGCCCTGATTTGCAAACTGGCCAGCCAGCATTTTCAGCTCGTTGATGTGCGTGAACATGTCGGTACCATCCTTGTACTTGAGCCGAACGAATTGGCCACGAAGCGCACACAAGTTCCCCCAGTTGCATGGCTCGTACGTCTTCCCCAGATGCTGGAAAATTTCGTAGGCGTAGCGCTTGTTGCTCACAGACACAACCATCTCATCGGAGAGGGTGGTCATCAAGAAGGCTGCCGCTTCGTGCTCACGGGTCCAGAAGTACTCCTCCTCCACCAGTCCAGCTCGACGTGGCGGTGACATCTCTTCTAGCGTCACGATGCTCCAGAGACGCTTGGTTTGCAGCATCATCTTGACTTGTGCCTTCCACGCAGCATAGTTCTTGCCGGTGAAGTTCATGTCGCTTGTCTACTTCATGGTCGGTAGTGCGGGGTCAGCGCCGGGGATCTTGGGCTCACAACCTGATGAACTTAGATGCGCACGGGAAGTGGAACACTTGCGAGGGGAGCTCTCTAGCTCCCGAGGAACTCTGGGTGCGACGTTTCAAATTCATACACCTTTTGATGTTTTTGATGTTTTCCCCGTGGGATACGCTATGATTTTGCCCACATATTACTGGATCTCGTTTTAAAGGTTACTGTTTGATGTAGGTAAATTAGTGCAGTAAGAAATACATGTGCCAAATATGATAATATCAGATTAAGCAGGATCTACAATTGTGAGTCGTGGTTGAAGTTGGTGATGAGACGCAATGCATCCAATCACAGCGTCTGATGCGGTGCATTTACACCGTGGAGTTCAACCTCTTCACTTCCGCTTCCCCCGCCTCGCCTACGTGTACTCCCCGCCACTGAAGCGCCATGGTTATGCTGCTGCGCCGCGCCGCCCCCTCGTCCCGCCGCCTCTTCAGCACGCGCGTGGCCGACACCGACGTGGTGATCGCCAGCTACGCGCGTACGCCCATCGCGTGCTTCAACGGCTCGTTCGCGCCGCTCTCGGGCCCAGAACTGGGCGCCGTCGCCAACGCTGAGGCCGTCAGGCGCGCGGGGCTCGAGCCCGCGCAGATCCAGGAGGCGTTCCTGGGCAACGTGGTGAGCGCCGGCATCGGCCAGGCGCCGGCGCGCCAGTCCGTGCTCAAGGCGGGCTTCCCGGACTTCATCCCGTGCACGACCGTCAACAAGGTGTGCGCGTCCGGCATGAAGGCGTTGGCCATCGGTGCGCAGAGCCTGCGGAGTGGCAGCCAGCAGGTCGTGCTGGCCGGCGGCTTCGAGAGCATGACCAACGTGCCGCACTACCTGCCCAAGGCGCGCGCGGGCTACCGCCTGGGCAACGGCACGCTAGTGGACGGCGTGATCCACGACGGGCTCTGGGACCCGTACAACAACCAGCACATGGGCATGTGCGGCGAGAAGTGCGCCGAGGACTTCGGCTTCTCCCGCGAGGCCCAGGATGCCTTCGCCATCGAGAGCTACCGCCGCGCCATCGACGCCAGCGAGCGCGGCTTCTTCAAGGCGGAGATCACGCCCGTGACCGTCAAGGGCCGCCGCGGCGACCAGGTCTTCGACAAGGACGAGGAGATGTTCAACACCAAGACGGACAAGATCCCGACGCTGCGCTCCGCCTTCAAGAAGAACGGCACCATCACGGCTGCCAACGCGTCCACGCTGAACGACGGCGCGGCCGCGATGGTGCTCATGACGGGAGCCAAGGCCCGCGAGCTCGGCGTGACGCCGCTCGCGCGTATCCGTGGCTTCGCCGACGCTGCGCAGGACCCGGTGCAGTTCACTATCGCCCCCTCCAAGGCCGTGCCGCTGGCACTGCACCACGCCGGCCTGCAGGCCAGCGACGTCGACTACCACGAGATCAACGAGGCCTTCTCGGTCGTGGCGCTGGCCAACATGCGTCTCATGAACATCCCGCACGACCGCGTCAACGTCAACGGCGGCGCCGTCGCGATCGGCCACCCGATTGGCGTCTCCGGCGCGCGCATCGTGGGCACCCTCATCCACATTCTCAAGGAGAAGGATGCAACTATCGGCTGCGCGTCCATCTGCAACGGTGGCGGTGGCGCCGGCGCCATGGTCATTGAGCGCTTGAACTAGGCAAACAGTACTGTAGGCCTTAACGGCAATCAATTCGCTGCCATTTAACGCTTAGCAGAGCACATTTCAACTGTACAGACAGATAAGCCAGGTGTGCGCCGACGCACCCTCGGAAACGCAAAATTGTTGTCGTCACCGCAGCGTGGCGAAGATCTCCTGCAAGTTCTTCCGCAGCAGGAAGCGCTGGTCTTCCGTCAGCTCGTGCGCGTCGCACATGGTCTCCACAAACGACTCGATCTGCGCGAGAGGCACTTCAAACTCGAGCATGCTCAGCGTGAACGAGCCCAGTTGGCCGAATACGATGTTGTGCACGCGGCACACTGCCTCTTCGCGCGACGGCAAGCCTACAACATTGTACGCAACACGAAGTCAAGCTCCGTTACAGCCTTTTAGGAGTTGTTGTACCATCGACGCAGACTTACCATCGTGTTTGGGTCCGCCACTCGGGAGCTCTTCCCACGGACATGGCTGTGGCGTCCGCTGCAGCTCTTCACCGATCGCTAGCAAGAGCGCCTTCTCCCAAAACTAACAGCAACACAAGCAATCACTGTAAGAAGGAAGTCCCGATCACAGCTGCAGTGAGGGCTTAGTACTTACCGATGGCGTCTTCCAAATGGCGTGCTTCTTCACCTCTTCCTGTAAATATGTTCGAGAGGCACCGCGTCCAATTCCCCCGCCATGAAGCAGCGGGTGTGATTCGTCCACATACTGAAGCAACTCCTCACTCGTACGCTCCGTGTAGTCTCTGCAGTCTGCGCACAGTGAGGATCTGCGTCGTCTTAAGTCATCAGCCTCTTCGTCTACTCGATGAGTGCATCCATTGCGCGGAGGCTCCCCACTATTCAGTTTGTCTCCACTCGACACCGATGCAGTATCTTGCTGCGATTTCGGGTAATAGAATGTCTCGGCCAGAATCATCGCCGTCTTGGCCGCTTTGATATCGTCCTCCCGAACGCACTCATCGAGGAACGCATTGAAGCAAACGACAAGAGCATCAAAACTCGCTTTATCCTTGACCTTCGTCTCTAGGCTCCGTTGCCGATTCAAGCACTTCACAAACAAGGCGCGTCCTTCCGCTGTTTTGCACGTATCGCGCACGAGAGCCTCACCTGATGACTTGGCGCGATGATTGCTGGATGCTTGTGGCGACGGGACAGACTCACCATCAGTTGCGGTGCTTGCTGGTGGCCGAGGAAGCTCTTCATATTCTTCCACTTCACTAAACGACGGACCATGTTCTGCATCCTCGCCGAAATAGCGGTGAAGAGCGGCGCTCATCGGGGTCTGCATAAGCACACTATGCGGGCTGTCCAACGGTGTCACTGAAGTCATAGCGGCGACAGCAGCATTGATCCGTCTTGGAGAGGATGACGCTGTTGTCGAGGCCGTTGATGAGGTCGGCGACGCAAATGAGCCATCCTCGATGCTGCTTCGGCGTTCCAGCAGGCCAAGCGGGTGTCGTCGAGTGGCGGCTGCATGGTCCACCTGCATCTTACTCCACTGCCAATCCAGCAACGCCAGCGCTTTCCCCTGGAAGTGCATGTTGTCCGGGTCCCGCTGGTTATGGATGAGCAGCTGGATATCCTCCGCACGGCTCAAGCTCTGCACGTGCGTTTCGAGCGACGCCAGCATTTGCTGCGAGACCTGCAGTCGCTCCTTCTCCACGTGAAGAAACCGGTGCAAGCTCGCATTGAGCTGGTCCAGCCTCTCCTCCTCCGCCTTCTGATACGCCACACTCACAGCCATCGTCATCTCGTCCCTGGCGATAATGCGGTTGTACATGGTCGTCTTGGCTCGAGCCCGAGCCATCACCGCCTGAGCCTGCTCCTCCTCACACCTGGCGACTCGAGCAGCCAGTCGCTGCAACTCAAACTCCGGCACACCAATACCCTGCACCACCAGAATACAAAAACTCAATCAGACCGCCGCGTTCTCCACTTCCTCTCAATACTTCAACTGACTCACATGCAGCGCGAGTCTCTGTCTGTCCTTGGCGTCGCGCAGTTCGGCCGAGGCTTTGCTCAGTCTGCTGGCCGCCTCCTTGTGGGCGGCTGTAGCCTCCTCGTACTCGTTGTTGGCGTTGAGGATCTCGCCCTGCAGCGTCTGGATGTACGTCTCGGACGCGTCCTGCAGCGACTCGAGCGGCCCCGCGACCTGCTCGTCCAGCACCTGCGCCATGAGCAGCTGCTGCCTGCAGCTGGCGTCCACGAAGCCGCGCAGCTCCAGCAGCGCGCGGCGAACGCCCGTGCCCGGCTCCTCCAGCGCGCCGATCTCGTCCAGCAGGAGCTCGCGGAGCTGCTCGCTCGCGCCGCGCTCCGCCTCGGCCTTGCGCCGGAAGAACGCCACCAGGCCCTGCAGACTGCGCTTGCCCTTGTCCGCGTGCTCGTAGATGGCGCCGAACGGCACCTGGCAGAACGTGCGGCGCCAGTGATTCTCCTCGTCCGCCCACGTGGTCGCCATGCTCGACTTGCGTCTCTAACTGAAGCTGGTAAAGTGTAAGTTCGGGGTCTTTTATGCTCTTGTGCTGTTGGACTGCGTTCACAGTTGGGAAGAGTAATATTTGACTTGTGATTTGTATGAGGCGTACAATTGTAACTGCGGTTAGAGGCACTTGGCCAAGTTGAAGTTGTCGTGCAAGTGGTCTGGTCAAAAGTGTATTCTGTCTGCACAAATGGTGGCGCTCTCACTTGCTCGCGATGTCTGTCCTATTACGCGCGATCGTCTATGACGTCGCCACTCGTTTCACTCTCTCTCTCTCTCTCTCTCTCTCTCTCTCTCTCTCTCTCTCTCTCTCGTCTGCAAACTACCTAAGTGCTAGCTATCTCCTACTCGACTATTTCGCTACCGACTAATAACCTCCCCACGTTCCGATCGTCTGCTCACTCGTTCGCTCGCCAAGCACACTCACGCCTCCCCGATCCTCGTTCTGCTCAGCTCTGTTAGTCCTTGTATTCGTACGTGAGGAACTCCACCGCTGCGACGCCTCATCAGCTGCTGCCGACCATTTCCTCCGTCGACTTCGTTCTCTTCTGCACGCGTGACGAGCGGCAGGAGAGTGCGAATATGCTCAAGCGTGAGCTATGTAATGGACTAGCGTGCTAGGCACAAACGGATGCCTGCGCTGCCCCGCTGGATCTTAATCGGAGCCGCTTTCTATCTGTACTGCCGATGGTACTCTGCTGCGGACGAGGGCAGGTCGTATTCCAGGGACGTGGGCTCCTTGCGCAGATCGTCCGCGTCGTGTGTTGCTTCACCGCTCATCATCCGCCCGAACGATGCCGAGTCGAGCGGGTGTTCAGCGGCTCCGGTCTCGTGCTGCTGCTGCTGCTCGTGTGCGCGGTTGGATGGGAGATAATCTTGCTGCAAAAATCCGCCCAACGAGCTGTATGGCGCGCTGTTGCCGCCCTCCGAGTGCATTCCGAATGTACCTCGGCCGACACCGTTGCCTCCAAAACCCCGGTCAATCGACAGACCAATGCCCATCATCCCGTTGCCAAATCCATCCCCGCTAGGATTGACAGCGACCCCATCGTTATTTCCATAGCCGTTGTCGCCGTGCCAGGCACTTGAGCCGTGCAGCGGAGTTCCACCGTTGCGCTGGTTGGAGAACATGGAGAAGAGCGGGGCAGGAGCAGGCGGCAACGGCGGTTGCTGCTGCTGCTGGCTGGGCGGTAATGACGGAGAGCCCCACGACTGCTGCTTCCACGGCGCCGCTTGCCACGATAGATTTGAAGATGACTCGGCGGTATCATCCACAAGGCCGTGCGGCAAATAGCTTGACTCGGAAGGCGACCCGAGAGGAATGTCCGCAGAGAGCTGTGGGCCCGAACTAGGAGACAGCTTCCACTGCTCGATTACCGGGTCATTGTCAAGAGGATGCAGAGCAACGTCCAACGGTGACAGGTGTCCATTCGTAGCTGATACGGTGGCTGCATCAACCAGGTGATCCGACGACCCACGCGACGACGAGCTTGCTGACAGCGGTGGTGAAGCTGCGCTGCTGCCTCCACCCAGAATGCCCCCACCGCGCGACGATCCACCATCCACAAGCACGAGGCTGGAGAGGGCATCGGCAACACCACTCATTGTGGAGGTATCGAGACTGATACCGTTGCCCACGCTGCTGGCATCTCCGTTACTGGAGAGAGGTCGGGGAGACGTCACTAAAGAAGACGGGAGCATGGCATTCGAGCTCGCAGTCTTCGGCAAGCCCCGACCGCCGAACCGCACAGCCGCTGCGTAGCCTCCCAGCATGCCGTTGGGCATGAGGTTGGCGGAAGCCGACGTTGTCCGGCTTAGCTTCTCAGACCCCATCGCAGCAGCAAGTCCACTGGTCGATGGAACGCTGCCAGAGAGCGATACAGGTGGTGTCGTTGAAATGCTAAGGTCGTCCAGACTCCCCACTGACCCAGGGCCAGAGGGACCACTGAAAGAGCCCCCACGCGACGATACCGACCGCGGAGGAGGCACGTCCGTGCGCGGGACAGCGCGCTTCACCTCCACCGACTTACCGTCGATCACGTGGTTCTTGTCCTGTAAAACCAGCTCCACACTGGCTTCACTTTCGAAAATGACAAAACCAAAGCCACGCGACTTGTTCGTCTCGCGATTGAACATCACCTCGGCTGACACCACCTTGCCGTACTGCATAAAATACTTCTTAAAGTCCGCTACGAAAGGAAGAGGGAGACAATGACGTTAGTCAAGCATCTACATTCCGCTCAAAACACAGCCGCCGCCGACACGTACCATCCTTCGTTTCATAATGTAAGCCGCCCACGAATATTTTTTTCGTGGCGCCGACAGCACTGTTCGCGCTGATGCTGGATATTGAATTGCTAACATTGCCGCGACTTGACGACGATCCACTCCCGATATCCCGCATGCTCTCTGCCCGCGGAACGGCTCGCTTAGCTTCAACCTGCACGACGAAGCACGAGATAGTCAGTGATCGAGCTAAAACTCGATAACGGCAAGAAGGAGAAAGCGCCGACGTACTCTACGGCTGTCTAGGATGTGGTTGGGCTGTGCCAACGCTCTATCAACACACGCAGGGTCCGCATACGTAATAAATCCGAAGCCTCGTGATCGTCTAGAAATCGGGTCCTTCATCACCACGGCGTCCGTGACTGTGCCGTACGCACCGAAGTACGACCGGAGTTTCTCTGCAAAACAATAAGCACAACACTATCAGTCCACAGCGCTCGTCCTTCCTCCCTCCCCTCAGCCAAGCGCTCTCTCCACTTACCGTCGGTCGTCTCGTACGAGAGTCCGCCGATGAAGATTTTTCTGCATACAAAAACAAACACAATTCGAACACGTGGTCAGCTACCGAGCGCTCCCTCCCCCTCCCGCTTCCCCCCTGTCTCGACCGCTGCACGAAGCACCAGCCCAGGCCAAGGAGGAAGGCTCTGCATCGCATACGAGAGCTGCAGCAAGTAGCTACACAGAGCGAATGAATGAACAAGCGTCCTCACCCTAACTTGGTTGTGTCTGCCATCCTCGAGTCGCCCAATGCGCTAAGTTGGAGCCAAGTTGTAAAGTCGGAGAGTGTAGTGCAGGCGTCAGCAGATGCTGCGGTCGCTTGTGCGGTGTGTAGTTGCGCTGCTGTGCGGCTGTGCGGCTCGCGCTGGCTTGGACTGGGGCCGAGGCGGGGCCGAAGCGCAGGGAATCCTCTGGCAAACGCTCCCTCAGTCGGCTCCCGGCGGGGCTGGCAGCGCGTGCGCAGGAGTCTTCCTCTTCTCTTCTCCTCTCTCTCCTCTCCGGGTTGCGGCCTGCGGCGGGTGCGTGCGGCCGGCAAGGAGACGCGTGCTGTGCTGTGCTGTGCTGTGTGAGTCTTGCGCTGCAAAGCTTCTCGCGCTTTTGGATGTCGTTCGGTCGGCGTGTTGGTTTTAGTTCAGGTCGACTCTCGGGGCCGGCTAGCGACAATATTGCGATAGCGTAAGCAACCAGATGGCGGCGTGGAGAACTGCGATTGGTGCGCAGTTTCAAAGTGAACTGGGATTGGCAGATCTGGTTTGACTTTCAAGTTTCAGGTTTGTGGTTGATTATGTAGGCTGAATTTCCAGCCACGTCCGACCCCGAAGACAACGGCACTCTCTGCGCATACGCCACCAAGCGCCCGCCGCCTGCTCCTAGAGCACGCAGTTCATGAGTATTTTATTGACGCGGGGTTGCTCGCTGGCTCGCGTGCGCGCTGTGTAGCAGGCACCGGCACCGGGGTCTTCGAGAATCTCCATCAACTCCGCTGCTGAGAAAAATGACTTGGGCTGAGTATGGCCTCTCCATGCCACCTCGGACGCTGGATAAGTGAGCCTTCGACGCGCGCCTCCCCTATTCGCGCTACGTACGAACTTCACTCGGCTGGGAGCCCTCGCGGTTTGCCGGCCTTGGCCGTCGCTGAGTCAGAGCCCGCCGCAGCTTCTGCTGTGCCCCGAGATGGGGATTGCCACGCGCCACGCGCCAGCGCGCTGGCGCTGAGCGGCCACCAAGACCCTATTTGGACGTAAACCTGCGTTCGACTGCGTAATTTGCAGCACAGACTCACTCAGTCCAATGCAGAAGCCCAGCACTGCTATTATAATAGCACGGAACTGCCGTCATGCTGTGGAAGCATTACATATTGCCTGCAGCTCCCTGCATGGTGTCAAGGGATCCAGCGAGGTCGACCGTCGAGATGCAGCATCCGAGTTCCAGGTTCTAGTCCAGTAATTAAGTTCAACTTGGACCGGTTAACCTGGAACCGTTAAATCCGTGTACCATCCCTTCGGTACCCTTTGCGGTGGTGCCTTTAGGCCGCACACTTCCTCCGTCTGTGTAGGTAGGTAGCTCGAGGATCGCTTCGCCCATGTCCGCGCTGCTCCTGCGTCGCTCCGTGGCGTCCGTGGCGGCGGCCTCGCGGCCCTCGCACCCGCTGCTGCGCGCCTCCTCCGCCTGCGCCGCCTTCAGCTCCGAGGCCGCGGCCGAGAAGAAGCCGCTGAGCGACACACTGCGCGAGCTGCGCGCCAGCGAGCACTTCGACCTGATCGTGATCGGCAGCGGCCCCGCCGGCCAGAAGTGCGCCATCGACAGCGCCAAGCACGGCAAGTCCGTGGCCATCATCGACAAGCGCGACATGATGGGCGGCGTCTGCGTGCACACGGGCACGGTGCCCTCCAAGGTGAAAGAAGCATGCTGGTGAATACAGGGGGCTATTGTACTGTATCTGACGCTGCTCTGCCTGCAGACGTTCCGCGAGGCCGCGCTGCACTTGACGGGGTACCGGCACAAGGCCTTCTACAACGGCCAGGCGGGCCCGAGCAAGCGCTTCGGCGTGGAGGACATCCTGCAGCGCGTCAAGAAGGTGGAGGACGCCGAGACGGACATCACCCGCCACCAGCTCATGCGCAACGGTGTGCAGCTCATCAACGGCACGGCCCGCTTCCTGCCGGGCAACAACCACATGGTGGCCGTGCTCTCCAACGAGTCGTACGAGACGGCCACGGACGCCAAGCGCCACACCAGCGCCGACATCTGCAAGCGGTAATGGCAGTTTTGCCCCCTGCGAGCTGTCTTGTTGCCACAGGCACTAACGATTGCATTGTTTACAGTGTGCTGACGGCCGACAAGTTCCTGGTTTGCGTGGGCACGCGTCCGGCGCGTCGCCCGGACATCCCGTTCGATGGCGAGACGATCTTTGACAGTGACCAGCTGCTGTGGGGCAAGGTGAAGACCGTCCCGCGCCGCCTGATTGTCGTGGGTGCCGGCGTTGTCGGAATGGAGTACGCGTCGATGATGACGATCATCCCTGGCACGGACGTGACGGTGATCGACGGGCGCCAGGAGATCCTCAACATGGCGGACAAGGAGGTGTCCGAGGCGCTGTGCTACTCGATGGCTCAGACTGGAACCCGTTTCTTGGTTGGCGAGACCATTAAGAGCGTTGAGAAGACCCCCAAGGGCGAGGTTTTCGTGCATCTGGAGAGCGGCAAGACTGTGGTCGGTGACGGTCTGCTGTACACGGTTGGACGCCAGGGCAACGTGGAGGGTCTGAACCTCGAGGCAGTCGGACTCGTGCCGGACAAACGCGGACGCATCAAGGTGGACAACAACTTCCAGACTGCGGTGCCTCATATGTACGTGAAATCTCGTGGTTGAAAGCGTAGATTCTTCAGATACTGACTTTGTATTTTACGGTATGCAGTTATGCTGCAGGTGACATCATCGGTTTCCCGGGCCTTGCCTCGACCTCGATGGAGCAGGGACGTCTTGCTTCCGTTCACATGCGCACGTCCAAGCCGCTGAACAACAAGGAGCTTTCTGACGACAAGAAGATGGATGACCCGGACCGCGTGCGTACTCGTATGCGCTCGGGTGAAGTGTTCCCGTTCGGCATCTACACCGTGCCGGAGATCTCGATGGTGGGCAAGAACGAGCAGCAGCTCACCAAGGAGCAGGTCCCGTACGAGGTGGGCATGGCTCGCTACGAGGAGCTGGCCAGGGGTCAGATGCTGGGCGGTTTGCCCGGTTTCTTGAAGATTATCTTCTGCCCCGAAACCCTCAAGATCCTGGGAGTGCACGCGATTGGCGAGGGTGCTACGGAGATTATTCACATTGGCCAGGTGGTCATGTCGACGGGTGGCACCCTGGAGTACTTCCGCAACGCTGTGTTCAACTACCCGACGCTTGCGGAGGCGTACCGCGTCGCTGCACTCAACGGCCTCCGTAAGATTGACCGCTTGCAGGACGAGTAAGCTTGGCGTTGCGTGGTTCAGCAGCAGAGACGGAAGACAACGGAAAGCCAGCAACCTCATGAATGGATCAGCGATAGACATTCAGATAAAACCGACGCAAAAAAATTGAGTACCAGGAACAACACGTTTGATTTAGCCTCGTGAAGCGGCGCATTGATGCCAAATGGGCCAAGCAAGCAGCGCTCTGTGGTCGTCGCGGGAAGTCTGCGACTTGAACGAGGAGCGGATCGAGGAGATCCACATGATCACCTCACGTGTGAATGACCACCGGTGAAGTTAAGCGCGGCCTGTTCTTGTGTTGACTTGCCTCTGTCTGCTGCGCCCGCAGTTCCGCCCAAGGAGATCCACCGCATCCGACGGAAGTACAAGGCCCTCGTGAAGGGCGAAGACATGACCAAGGACGAATTCTACTCGCTGCCAGCCGTCTCAGTCAACCCGCTGCGGGACCAATTGTTCAAGTCGCTGGAGCTGTCGCCAGCGCAGACGATCACCTTCGCTGTGCGTTCCAAAGACCCCAAAAATATCTGGAATCGGAACTGAGCTCATTGAGGCCCGCGCATTTGCAGGAGTTCGCCAAGTTCGTCCAGATCTTTAGCTACAGCAGCCCTCAAGACGCCAAGCTCAAAGGTTTGGGCCCCAGCAGCAGCTTGTGCTCCATCCTGACACACCATGACAACCTGTCACCACTCGCAGAAGCGTTCAAGGTCCACGACTTCGACGGCGACGGCAAAATCTCCCGCGACGACCTGCGCGCGTACTGCGCGCTCGTGTTCCCCAAGGTCCTGGACAGCGAGGGCGACTCCGCCGCGCAGGCTCAGCAGGAGGTCATAGTATCCGTCTGTATCCACATCGGGTAAACCGACACAACGGTCCGGTGCATTGACAAATTTTGTGCTGCAGGTGCTGGAGACGCTGATCGAGCACGTCATGAGCGAGGCCTCGTCGGCGCCGGGCAGAGACTTCCTCCTCTACGACGACTTTGTCAAGGCGAGTCGGCCTGCATTCGGAGACATACACATAACGAACGCTCTGTAGACGACTAACCGCGCGGCCACTTCAACGTGCACAGGTGATCCAATCGACGGACTTCGAGAGCCGGCTCATCGTCCCGTTCTGACCGCGACACCACGCTCCACACGTCAATGCGTCGCCGCATCGCGATCCCATTTCTCCATCGAAACGGCAGCACCATGCAGCGGTCGGTGTTCGATGTAGTGGAGTGGGGTGGGTCCCCAACTATTGCCAGCAGCATCGCATCTGGAGCCACTTGGGTAAAATCAGCACCTTATTAGCACTGGATTTTCAGTAAAATAACGCTTTTTCATGGCAAAATTCCATCGAATACAAATCCCAAGTCACGTCGGCGGCTAGGGGACTTCCATACATTCTCCCCAATCTCCACCTGCGCTGAACTGTCTTTTCGGCCAGCAAGGAAGTGAGATTGCGCTCATTTGAGCTGGGGGTGTGCGGACGGTTGTTGCGCGAGTGAGCAGCTTCCTGCCGACCTACCTAATACGCCAGGCGCCGGCACCGGACTCACGCAGGCAGGCAGGCAACCGACAGGCCGACAGACTCGTTGATGGCGAAGGACGCGCAGGTGCGCGGCGAAGACGGCGCCATGCCCATGGACAACACGGCGCTGCTGGCCGGCGCCAACTACGACAAGCTCACGACGCCCAACGGCGGGGACACGCCCGTGGCGGCGGGCCGCGCGTCGGCCGCGCCCTCGCAGCGGGCGGAGCAGCAGCAGCAGGACGCGTCTCCGGAGCAGGAGCAGGGCGAGGGCTACGACGACCTCATGCACGGCATCAACTCGTTCTGGGCCATCGTGTTCCCCGTGTGCGTGACCATGATCGTGGCCAGCCTCGTGGTGGTCAACTACCGCAGCTCCAGCATCGAGGCGTCCATGTCCACGTACCTCGTGTACGGCAACTCGGGCTCGGACTCGAGCAGCAGCAGCGGCGGCGCGGGCATCGGCGAGTCGCTCGTCAACGCGCTCGTGATCATCGGCGCCATCGCCGTGCTGACCTTCGGCATGGCGCTGCTGTACAAGTACAACTGCATGAAGTTCCTGAGCGGCTACATCATGTTCGCGTCCACGGCTATCCTGAGCTTCGTGGGTGGCCAGCTCGTGGACGAGATCGTGAACGACCAGTTCGGCTGGGCCGTGGACTGGCCCTCGTTCCTCTTCGTCATGATCAACTTCGGCTTCGTGGGCGTCATCTCCATCTTCTACCAGAAGGGGACGCCCAAGTTCGTGCAGAACGGCTACCTCGTCATGGTCAGCGTCATCCTGGCCTGGGAGTTCTCCATGTGGCCCGAGTGGACGACCATCACGTTCTGCGTCATGTTCGCGTGCTACGACCTGTGCGCCGTGCTCACGCCCTGCGGCCCGCTCAAGTACCTCATTGGGCTCATCCAAGAGAAGCAGGCGCCGCTGCCGGGTCTGCTGTACGAGGCCGACGTGCGCGACGGTGTCTCGCACGACCACCACAGGCAACAGCAGCAGCAGCAGCAACAACAACAGCAGCGCCAGCAGCAGCAGCAGCAGCAGCAGCGTCAACAACAACAGCAACAGCAGCCGCAGGAGCAGCCGCGTCGTCCCAAGAACGCGCCGACGGACGACGTCACTACTGCGCCGCGTCCGTCATCGTCGACTACGTCGCAGTCGTCCAGCAACAGCAACCAGAACAGCAACGCCAACGCGTCCGTCACGAACAGCACCCGCAACTTGCCTCCTCAAGTGCCGGCGGCGGCTGAGCCTTCGACGGGCGCAGAGCGTGAAGACCGCACCGACTCGTCCCCGATCCCGTTGATGGCTTCTGGACGTCCACGCAACGTGGCCGAGTCGAGCTTCACCACGTACGAATGCGAGACGATGGAGGCCCTCGTCGACCTGTTGACTCAGTTCTACGAGACTTTCAGCCCAGAGGATACGTGGAAGGCGCCCCAGGTGGCGGAGAAGTTCTTCGCCACGCAGGACCGCTTGTGGCTGCTGATCTTCCACAAGTATTATGTCTGCTCGTGCTCCATGGACATGCCCTGCCCCGTGCAGGCGAGACGCGAGCGTCGCCAACGTCAACGCGAGGAGGAAGACGAGGACGACAAGACCATCAAGCTGGGCCTGGGTGACTTCATCTTCTACAGTGTGCTGGTCGGCCGTGCCGCCATCAAGGACTTCTCGACGTTTGCTGTCACCTTCGTTTGCATCGTGATGGTACGTCGCTCTCTTTGTTTCTGTGGGATGTGATGTAGTCCAGCTGAGCTAACATATTGTTGATTTACAATGTACAGGGTCTCGGTGGCACATTGTTCCTGCTTGCTGTGTTACACAAGGCGTTGCCGGCGCTGCCTATCTCGATCTTTCTGGCCACGATCTTCTACTTCCTGACCGAGTACATCTTCATCGATTTCTGCAGTTTCATGATGACGTTCCCAGCCGCAGTGTAGTGGAAAAGATATTGAAAAAACAAATGAATACTCCATGTTTTGACGTCGATAGAGAACTTCGATGCATGGTACTGTGGCTGCTTTGCGATCCCTTTTAAGCGGAAGAAGCCGGCTCTGATGATTCAGCGTCAGAGTGTGAAAGATCTGCAAGCGCATTAAATTGTCGAGTATGCAACGCGACTTCAAGACCAAAATCTGTAGCAGCAAGACGCAGTTCGTCCTCCTCGGTGGCACTCCCACCCAGTGATAAACCTACCATGGAGATGCTACATACTACGTCGCGGGCAGCATAAGTACTGGCGAGTCCTCCGGCATACGCTTGAAGCAACGGAAATCGGCCCTTAGCCAGTGCCCAGGCCCGCGCGAACGGAGATTCTTTGTGGCACTGAGCCAACGCCCGCTTTAGCTCTGTATCACGGTTTGCTTCACGATGGAAGGCTTCATACTCCCTCTCGAGAGTGTCCAGTTCCTCTTCCGACAGTGAGAGGCGCAGTTGTCCTACGTGCCGCTTTACCAGCTCAGAGAACTCACGCCCGCTTAGCCGAGCCAAGTCTTGCGGCAGCACGGGGGGAAGTTCAAATTCTTCACTGGTAACATCCTCCCCCTCCGCTGGAGGTGTGGCGCTGAGATCAGACAGAGACTCCGCTAGGCTCAGCACACATGTAGCAATATTCTCCAGCACTTTGTCCAAAGCGGTGGAGCCCAAGCCCTCAGCCACGTTGCTAACAAAAATTCCCTGGTCACCCAGGAAGTCGTGCACGCTCGTCTTGAGAACCGAAAACTTGCCTTGGGGCGAGAAATATCGCTGCCCCTCACCTTCCGGTTGCTCTCCCTTCTGAATGTTGAAAGTGGCAAAGAGCTCCACGAGAATTTCCGAGATAATATCTGCCTGTCGTGCACGCGAAATCCGAGGCAACCGCAGCTCGTCGAAAGCGTCGTTGGCTCGGGTAGCGACCCAGTGTACTACGAAAAACGCCACCCACCAGCCATCATCAACAGTGGCTGCTGCAGTAGAAGAGCTTGAAAGTCCCGCCAAATGCTTTCGCAAGCGTACGCGCTTGTCGGTGATCCACTGCGTATCAAGGCCCATGCTTAGCCAGTCCACGTTCCCATTCAAATCCACACTTTCGTCGTTGCATTCTCCAATATTTTCCAGGTCGACGGCCACACTGGGCGGTTGGCCCATTTCTTGTAGAAGCTCGGGATTTTGACGAACATAAGCGATGACTGTACGCAGAACCGCGAGAAAGCTCCCTCCTAGCAATGACTCGTAGAAGGAGGAGAGTGCAAGAGAGACTTGGCGACAGGCTCCCCACGTAGTGTACAGCACGCGGTTTGAGATCGTCGGGGTTGAGTTCGATATTGAAGTCTTCAATAAAGACAGCACCTCCGCTGTGCGGTGTCTGGACGTCGACATCGACGGTAAGACAAAAGCAGCTCGATCATCCACCGCTGCTGGTGGTGGGGGTGGATCGTTCCTGCCTCCAGTGCCAGGATGTCCGTCGTGGGAGATTCCCAGCACTCTCGTCCGCCACAACGGGAAAACAGCGTCCAGCACGGTTTCAATTGTTTGAGCCAGCTCGAAAGCCGTACGCCGCTCAAGCTGCGGCAGTGCGATCACGTGGATATCCCTCAATTCACCTTGCGCATACACCACAACACGAACATCCAGGTACCCCGCTCCAGGCAGAGTCGGCGCCGCCGTCACCTCTCGCAGTACGAGACCGAAGCCCCACGTTCCTGCCAGTAGCTGACTGACAACCTGCAGACTCGCACTCACTGCCAACCGTGCCAGATCTCGCATCTCCCCCTCCTTCACACATGGAAACGACGTTGCCGCGCAATTCTCCCCAGTCGTTCGCTTCTCCAACGCAGCCAAATGCCGCGCTGCTTGCTGCACCGACAACCCTGTCGCCAGCGAGTCCACCGCCACATCCAGCTCCGCTCTACGGAACAGCGCAACGCGGTAGAACGCCCCCCTCTTTCCATTTACCGACTGCTCCACCACCTCACAGACCCGGAAACTCGGCGGTTGCCAGTGTCGACCGCCCCACGCAGCTGCCGGGGGCTGCACCAGGTCCACGATCCTCTTGGGGATCAGGAACCAGCAGTGTCTCTCCAGGGGCGAGTGCTTGGCGGCAGCAGCAGCTTCCGCGGAGCTGACGAACGTCTCCTGGTCCGTCTCGAGTCTGGTCACGTCGGTGGGGAAGAAGGCGCCCTTGTCCTCGTCCGAGCACTGCTTGTACCGCTCCCAGCGGCTCGGGTGCTGCAGCAGCACGTGCTGCAGGTACAGGTCCGTGCGGAAGTTGCAGCGGAAGTACTTGACGGTGCTCGGCGTCTTGCGCTTCTTGCCCGGCCGCTCCTCGCGCCCGAAGTGGCGGCAGAACAGACACACGACGCACGTGACGGCGCCCGTCACCTCGTCCCGCCCGACGACCCGCAGGCCGTAGCGCAGCGCATGCGACTCTCGGAAGACCTTCGTGGATGGCGGCGCCATACTTACGGATGGATGGACGGGCAGTCCCGTGTGTACGGGGAGCTACGTCCCGTAAATAAAGGGCAACGGTCTCCATGGCGTACGTCCATCGTTGCAGCTACTTATCGTTCATTACCACTAGCAAAATGGGGGGTCGAAATCGACATGGCTACACTTTAAAACGCGTCAGCGGCGGAGGGGGTGGTGGGTGAGCTGTTGTTGCTGGTCGATGCCGAGTCGAGCATCTCCTTGGTGCTTTGAGCGAGCGCCAGAGCGTCGACTGGAGAGGTCTTGAGGTACTCGCGCCATAAGGAGCCCGAGCGCTTGGTGAGCTGCGCCTCGGCGCAGGAGAAGTGGTTCATGATATTTTCCAGCGCCTTGGTCATCTCGGAGCGGAAGCGCTGCATCTCCTCGGCCATCAGCGCGCGCGTGATGAGCTCGCTGGTGTGGCGTGCTCGACGCTGCTGCTCCTCGACGCTCAACGATGGCGGCTCCACTGCGCTCATGAACCGCGACGCTGCTGAGGAAGCTGCCGACGTGAACGACGCCACGGAAAAGCCGGACGTCGGTGGAGACGCTGGGGATTCGGACGGCGGGGGAGAAGGCTTGCGCTCAGGTGAGGACTCGCCCGCAATCGCACGCTCGAGCTCAATGAGCATCTGCTTCATGCCGGTGGCTTGGTGCAGCATGTACTTGATGTTCTCCAGCAACAGCAGCTCGTAGATCGCAGGCTGGAAGCTCTCCACTTGACTCCAGCCGCAGATTGTAGACGCTGGCGAAGAATAACGAGAAGAAATCGTTGGCAAGTGCTCTCCATACTCGATGACTGCTACAGCACGTTGTACTTACTGGACTTGTCGAGCAGAGAGACAAGAGGTCCGTCATTCCGCGCTTCGAACGTGCCCGTGCCCGTCTCGGCCAGTTGCCACCCCGCAAAGATGGCATGCAGCGTGCTCACGTCCTTCGCCATAGCAGCGCTCTTATCGGCGAGACGCTTGGCACAAGCTGCCAGCTCCCCCAGCAGCCGCTCGCGCTGCTCAACATGCCGCTTGAACACCGAAATCTCACTGCAAAACCAAGCAGAGCATCAGACACTTGATCATGGGGCTACCTACACATGCACAAGGACGTACTTTTCCGGTGAACTGGCGATATGCTCGCACATAATACGCTGCAGCCAGCGCATGTGCCCCTCTCCGGCATTTTCCATCACCGCCGTCCCCTTGCGCATCGCCTCCCACGTCGCCTCGTCGCCTGGTTCCCCCAAGAAGCTCGCAACCGCCGCGTCCGAGCGCAGGTACGGCGACTGCATGATGTCGTTGAGGAAATGTTGCAGCGCGCGCATGCGACTCTGAAGGAAGGCGTCGTTCTTGAGCACTGCTGCCGTCGTTGTCTTCTCCGGCAGCGACGGCACCAAGAGTCCGACGTAGCGCGCATGGAGCACCACGCGCAGCCATTCGAAGTCCCTGAAGCGTCGGCGCACGCCCTCGTGGTGGGGCTCCTGCGTCACGAGGTATGTCGTGTGCTTCTGCAGGTAGGTGCCCCGCGCTTCGGGTGCGCTCACCTTCAGCACCACGCGCTCCTTCACAGCCTCAGCACACCAGCGCTAGTAGCAGCAAGAGAGCAACGTCAGACCAAGTGTACCAGAGGATATCATCAACATTGAGGATATCACAGTATAGTACCTGATGCTCTTCGAGGTCGAACTCACTGGCGTTGGCGCCGCACTGGCGCACCGAGCGCATCGACGCCTCGAGCGCCGCAGCGACCAGGCTCTCCTTGCCTTGCGCTGCGTTGAAGAACTGCATTGCGTCAGCGCTCGTTGATGTGCACTTGGAACCTCCGGTCGAGAAATGAATGGCGACCTCGACTTTGGATCGAAGAGGCGTCATCAAGATTCAAAGATCGCGCTTTGATACGCATCAACTTCAACTTGATACCCCACGACCCACGACTTCTAGGCGCCGGTATTGGTACCTTCGCTGGTTTTCTGCAGTGCGTACATGAGTCTGCTTCGGTTCTCGCTCAGCTCTCGGTCGTAGATCTCCTCCTGCAGCTTTGTCAGCGACGGGAGCTGCTGGGCGTGCAAGGCGCTCTCCAGCTCAAAGTCGGCGAGCAGCAGGCGCGCCTCCTCCAGGTCCTTCGGTCGCACCACGAGGTCCCGAGCCCTCTGGTCGCTAAATGCGACGGTGTCCAGCGGCCGCGCAGTCGCCAGCCCACCGGCGAAGGCCTCGAGGCTGCTGAAGCGGCTGTCCACGAGGCTCCACGCGACATCGAAGGACGTGTCTTGTGTGCACTGCCCGAGCGCGTACCGGATGCCTTCATCCTCTGCGTAGCTGCGACGTAGGAGCTCGTGCACTTCGCGGATAGCGATGATATCGGCATCTGTCAGAGTCCCCCGTGCTGTTACGTCATGGGCGTGGAGTAACTCCACAAACTCGACAGGACTGAGGTGTGCCAGCTCATGCGGCAGCACTGGAGGCAGCACATCCGTCACGGCAACCGTGTGGTTAACGCTAGTGCCATGGGTATTCACACAAGCGGCGTCCTGCTTCTTCAGGCTGACGCTGAACTCGACTAGTGACGCAACCATATCCACAGCGCCCGCAGCCAAATCTGCGGCGATCGAGTTCAGCGTAGCGTAGTCCCCATGTTTCATCAACTCACGCGCAATCTGGCTCGAGTCCATGACAAATTCCAGTATCGTGCTCCTGCTCATGGCTATTCGGCCGTCACTCGACACGCAGTCGGTTGAGTGGCTTTGGGTCGGCCGGTGCTCTTTTCCGACGAACTGAGCATGGAAACCGGTGATGCACTCTTCAGCCAAGCTTGCTATGACCGCTGCTTGCTGCGAGATGGCCACGTGGCGCGTCTCCAACACCTCGAACACGGCATTCGCACGAGCGGTGACCCAATGCACCAGCTCCAGCATCACCCACCACGACGTTGACGGCGCAGACATCGCCACAGTGACGACATCCTGGAAATGCGATCGAAGCATGTTGTTGTGAACCAGCAGCATATCGACCTCCTTCCCAAACACTATTGGCGACTTAGTCGACCCATACATGCTGCTGCGCAGCAGCTCTCGATAATCGGGATACCTCTCCATCTCTGACGCGACGCTCGGCTCGTTGCGAGCGTACTCGCTCAGCGCCTTTAACGTCTGGAGGAAACTTCCGCTGTTGAGTGAAGCGTAGAAGGTCTGCAGCATGTGCTGCAACGCGCCGCTGCTGTTGTTGGTGCGGTACAGCACAGACCCACTGCAGGCGGTCTGGAAGTGCTGGGTGAGCTCAATGATCCGCGCTGGAATCGGCACGTCTCCATCGACCGTAACCCCAAGCAGCTTCCTCCTCCACCCAGGCAGAAGCGCTGTCAGCACGCGGTCCAGCGTCTGAAACATCATCATATCGCACTTGCCCACATACCTTGGGATCGCTAGCAAGTGGGCGTTCCACATGCCGCCGACGCGACTGTACAGCTTCGCACGCACATCCAGGTACGAGAGCTTCGGGTGCCGATCAACTGTGCGCAGCTCCAGTGAGAACGCCCACGCCTCCTCCAACAGCCCTGCAATGACGCTCATGCTCGCAGCGATGCCCAGCCTCACGAACTCTGCAGTCTGCTGCTCATTGTACTCCGGACTCACGTCGTCCTCGACTCGGAAGCGTTTCTTCGCGCGCTCCTCCGCCCGCTCGGCCGCCATCGCCACCCCTCGCTTCGAGGTCACCTCCGCCTTCTTCGTGTTCTCCACCAGGTCCCCCAGCAGCATCGGCGCGTGACGCCGGAAAACCTGCACGGACTTGGCGATCTGCGGCGCCGAGAGTCCGTCCGCCGCCATCTCCATCAACAGGTCCATCTGCGCCTTGGCGAACACCACGACGCGGTACACGGGCGGGTCCTTCTGCACCACGTAGCAGCTCTGGAACGTGTCGGGCGGCGGGGACCAGCCCGGGCAGCTCGACGGCAGCTCTCCGTCGTAGTCGTGGTGCGTCATGTACTGGAACATGAGGCGGTCTCTGGTCTTGACCGTGGACTCGACGGGGCCGAAGCCCACGGCCAGCACCGCCACGATCTCCACTATGGAGGCCTTGAGGTCGAAGCATCGGCCTCGTTCCTCCGCCTTGGGCAGCGTCTGCTTTGGAGCTTCCGGGTGCTTGTTATGACCGGCATCAGCTGCACCACGGACGATATCGACTGTAGCCACCACTTCGTCATTATGACCACCCAGAGGGAAGAACCGCCGCTTCTCCTGCTCGCTGCAGGCCTTGTACCGCTTCCACTGCGTCGGGTGCTGCAGCTGGTGGTGCTGCGTGTACTGGTCCGGCCGGAACGAATCCCGGAAGTACTTGACGGTGCTGGCGCTCTTGCGCTTCTTGTCGGCGCGCTGCTCGCGCCCAAAGTGCTTGCAGAAGAGGCACACGGCCTCCACGACGTCTCCGCTCGCCTCGTCCCGCGCTGTGGCCGCCACGCCGAAGCGCGCCGCATGCCCGGGCAGGTACTTTAGCGTCCTGCTGCGCGTGCCCATTTCTCCACAAAAAGGGAGCCATTTACTGCTAATTGTGCTCAAAACGGGCAAAACGACTCATTTTACTGCTAATTGGGCGCAAAAAAGTTGGTACGCTCTACCCATTCCAGCTCCCAGTGCCTAACACTACACGAGACGAAGCACGCCCCCGCGAGCATGAACCGGCTGCTGCAGCACTTCGTGGCGGACTCGACCGGCGCCCAGGGCCCGCCAGCGTCGCGGCCGCCCATCCCCGCGCCTCCGCAGTCCTCGGGCAGCTCCTACCACGGCGGCAACCGCGGCTCGTACCAGCGCGCGGCGCCCGGCGGGCCGTTCTACTACCAGCCGCCCCCGACGCAGGCTCAGACGCAGCCGCAGCAGTGGCCGCAGGGCGCGGCCTCGGGCTTGGAGGAGATCCCGCTCACCTCGCAGTCCTCGGGCGGCGTGTACGAGACCGTGGACCTGAACGCCGACAGCAGCCAGCAGCACCGGCCGCCGCAGCTCCAGCAGCATCCGCACCACCACCACCAGCAGCAGCGGCTGTTCACGCCTCTGCCCGCGGGCTACAGGCCGCCGTCGGCGCCCAACAGCCAGGGCCGCTCGCTGTACAAGGCCGCCACGCCGCCGGGCAGTCGGGAGGGCAACCGATCCGCCCCATTCTACCAGCAGAAGGCCGCAGGCAGCGCCTCGGACCTGTTTGCGGCCGGGCCGCCGCCCGCGCGCGAGCTGTTCGGAGGCCCGCCGTCCTCCGGCGGCGGCAGCGCAGGCAGCAACCCGTACAGACGCAGCAGCTCCCAGTCTGCGACCAGCCCCTTCGCGGCGAATGGCAATGGAAACGGAGCGATGTTTGGGGGCAATAGCAACACGTCGCCCCCGAAGGACCCTTTTGCAGTGCAGGCGAATGGAGGAACCATGTTTGCGCACAACGCGCGACCGAAGAAGGACCCATTTGCGGCCTCGCCGTCGCAGAATGGGAGCATGTTTGGAGCTCCAAGTCCGCAGAACGACCCGTTCGCTGCGCCGCGCTCGGATGAGAACAGGAACGCCTTCAACAGCCCGGCGCCAGGCGCAAGCGCGCACGATCCGTTTGCCGCGCAGCCTCCGAAGAATGCAGAACCGCAGCCGCCGCAGCAGCAGTATCACCATCAGCAACAGCAACAGCAGCGACAGCCTGCGACTTCGGAAATGGCGGCAAACCCGTTCGCCTCTGCTTCGTCCAACGCTTCTGCGGACCCATTTGCGTCTACCCCGTCACATTCGAGCAGCAGCCCGTTTGAATCTCCGGCCCCGTCGAATGACGGTGGACACCAGAGTGTGGCGAGTGCTGACAGCCTGTTTTCGTCGCCCGCGCCGGCATACAACGGGGACTGGACGCAACCTGCACAGCCTACGCAGCCGACACAGCCGACACAGTATGCTCAGCAGACTTCTAGTCCAGCTCAAGCGCAGGAGCTTTTCGCCAGCGAGGCACCGAGTGCTAGCAGCTTGTTCGGAGGCAGTGCTTCGTCACCGTTCCAGGTTACCTCTTCTCCTCCTCCTCCTCCGCCGCCGCCGCAACAGCCTCAGGCTAACGCCTCGCCTTCGCCGGCCAAGCCTCAGACCAGCGTCCCGCCCTCGCCAGTGAAGCCTCCGGTCGGCGTGCCGCCCTCTCCTGCTAAATCTCCTGTGAATGTCCCGCCTTCGCCATTGAAGCCCCCAGTTCCGCCGCCTTCGCCGATGGTTAACGCCTCCTCGCCACCGATGAGACCACAGGTTACCGTCCCCGAGTCGCCAGTAATGAGACCCGAGGACCATCTCACACCCGCGTTCGGTTCCATGAAGCTCACAACGCCGGCCAAATCCCCCTTCAAGTCTGGACTCGACGTGAGGCACATGAAATTCCCTGCCGGCAAGCGCGACGACGACGCCATGTCCAACGCCCCGAGTATTGCTCCGAGCCGGATGTCGATGCTCTCGACTCTGGACGACTCGCTCAAACTGTCCGACATGTACAAGCAAATGACTGCGCGGCTGGAGGGCGAGAAGCACGACTTGCTCAAGGTGGTGGCCAGCCAGGCTCAGGAGATAGCTCAGATGAAGAAGCACATCAAATCCTTAGAGCTGCAGCTGAAGAAATACCGGCCCCAAGACGCATAGTTGAAGGCTACAAAAGGTGAATAAAAGACGATCGATCGATGGCCAGCGGACGCAACATCGTCGGTCGGTCGGTACCAGGGAAGAGAAGTGAACTTTTGTGTAGAGAATGGATATGGTTTTGACCGAGACTCACGTGCCTTTGTGTTTTGTAGCGATTAACCTTCACTTCCCCGTGTCTAGCCACTGACCGACCGCAGGAGCAGCGATCACCAAAGCCGGTCGGTTTTCGCGCGCCATCTTTTCGTAACCGTGGCTGAAATTGCAGGAATAACTTGCTGCAAGCCGCGAACTCAAGTTGTGTCGGGCTCTGTCTCGGTCGTGCCCTGCAGTCAGTCAGTCAGTCCCATGATCTAAGCGCGTTAGTGGGAAGGATTCGACGCCGCTATTTCCGTGCCCGCCGCATTTTCGCGCTTTTGCATTTCCTCCGACCGACGTGAACAGGACAGCGCAGGCCGGAGAGCGGCCGTCCAGCTTGAAGGCACGGCATGACTCACTACTATCGTCACGAAAACCAGCATGAACCCGCGCCGCGTGCTCGGTCTCCCAAGAGGAATCCATTCCAGACACCACCATCACACACTTCACGCGACCTCCCTGGGAACCCGGCGACAGACTATTCGCCGAGTAAATTGCGCGCCCACCTCGATCGGAAGCAGAATTCGAACCATGACAGTGACCAGAGCCTCTTGGAGATGTTGAGCTCGACGGTAGCGTGCTTGAAGCAGAAGAACATGGATCTGGAGGCGCTGGGCTGCCTCGAGCAGAGTTTATGGCTCAAGCGGCGCATGTTCGGCGTGGATAATTCCGTTGTGCACAAGGCACTGAACGAGGTCATGCTGAGCTACAATTCCGTGGCCATGCAGTATCTCTCACAGGGGCAATTCGACCAGTGTTTAGCCATGTTACGCAAGGCGGAGGCCATCACGGCCCCTGGTAACTTCAAGAGATGCCAGGCTCTACAGATTCTTACGTTCAATAACATCGGCTGCTGCTATCGGAAGCTCGGCAAGCTCAAGTCTGCGCTAAAGTATCTGAAGGAGGCCGCACAGATCGGATCGGGCTCCGCGCACGTGAAGAACCTATCGATCACGCATCTTAACCTGTGCGCTATCCAGTCTCAGCTTGGCCGTCATGATCTGGCGTTAGAGCACGCCCAAGCTGCTATTTTCCATACGCAAGAGGAGCTCGTAAGTCTCGAAGATGGGGCTATGAATGAGCGGGATGAAGACGGCAAATGTGACGGGGACGAGAGGGACCAGACCGCATTGGTTGATGCGTTGGACCCAAAGACCCGCGAGGAGAAGATTATCTCGCTTGCTGTGGCGTACCACAACCTGGCGGTGGAACTCGAATTCAACGGACGCGGGGAGGCGAGCTTGCAATGGTACAAGAAGGCGCTGCAGCTGGTGTGGAAGTACCGGGAGACGAACGAGGCGCTGTGCGAGTCCTTCAAGAAGATTTTTCTCGACGCCAAGAAGAAGCAGCAAACGGCGAACGTCCGGCAGAATGGCGTCCCTGCGCCTGCCTGCACAGCTAACAGCTCCGCTAATGGACGCCGGCCGATCACTCGTCCGAGGTCTGCCCATGCCTCATCTCGATGTGCAAGCGACGCTGACAGAGGGGACGTATCCTACAGCTCCACAGTCGCCTCCCACTGCTACAAAGCTACCAAGCCGTCGACAGCAGGACTGCGTTACGGATCCCCACGTAATACAGCAGCAGCAGCTCGAGGCGTAAGGCCTCAGCGCCCAGCTTCCGCAACGACTCGGCAGCGACCAATGTCAGCTAAACCGTCAACACGTCCGAACTACCGCAATTCATCGCACGGCTCCCGCGATTCCGCCGAGGACGCGTTTGAATCGCACTGGAAGAAGCTCGAGAAGGAGCACGCTCTGAATGACTTCCACTCGCCCCCAATGGCACCATCAAAGTCGGAACGAAGAGCTCACCGCCCTCAAAGTGCAGGAAGCGCCACTGCTGCAGCTCGACGACGAAACCCGGTGTCAGTGGACACTCAGAGGCGGCAAAAGCTGCAGGGACAGCTGTACTTCGCTGCGAAAGACGAGGATTTCATTGGGAATGACGAAGACTACGGCGTTATACTTGACGACGGTGATTGCGACGATGGATTCGATGACTATCCTGGAACTGCGCCTTCAGACTGCAGCAACAACCAACACGAGAGGGAACCGCGCAGTCGGACTGCTACTAGCGTACAAAACGGGCGGCAGTCTAATGCAAGGAATCAACGCTCGTCTAGGCATCGCAGAGCACTGGATGATAGTCGCTCACAGGCTTCACTCGACCCGAGTGAAGGAGCTTCTGACAGTGAATCAGTAGCTTCTTCGAGTCGCGGACCCGAAGAGAATTCACCAGGTGCGTCTCAAACAGGTTACAGTGGAGACGACGACACGGAGCCAGACCTGCCAGCCAAGCGCGTCGGCCACATGGAATATCTGCGGCGCATGAAGAAGCTGGCCGAAAGCATTAAGGACGATCTGAATGGAGCAGGGAATCGGTCACCAACAGTGAAGCCGGTAGACCTAGCAGCAAACCACGCAAGGAGTCCAAGGAATAGTGAATGTGGATCAAGGGTGTCAACGCCTCGAAGCGCTACTTCGAAACTCCGCGACCGAATTGAGCAAGCAAGACGTGATTCGTGGGATACTTTAAATGAAGGTGACGCGTGTAGTGACAAATCTGACCAAGTGCAGCCCGCAGCACTTGCGTCGGAGCACCAGAACAACAGCGTAGTGGGTGGTGATGATGGAATCGAACTTACGGAAGATGCCAATGTCTTTGAATCTGACATTGCGGCGCGTGATGCAGAGCTACAATTGTTCCACGTAGCTGCTGGCAGCCGGCTGCAGGCTTTCTTCCGTGGTCAGCGCTGCCGAGCGGAGGTGAATCAGTTGAAACGGGCAAGCCTGCGTTCCTTTCTTACATTGTTGTTTCTGCGGTATGGCTCACTGTATTCTTATGCCTTAGGTCAAACTTGAAAATGACTCAGCGACTTTGATTCAAACTCAAGCACGGCAGTACCTCGAGTTGTTAAAGGAGGAGAGGAGGCTGCATGAAGAAAGATTGCAACTCGAGCTCCAGAAAGAAGAAGTGGAGGACATGGCAGCTTGCTTGATCCAGCGATTGTGTCGCCGAGTTCTCAGTCGGAAAACTGCCAGTGCGGCCAAAAGCAATGACGATGAGGATGGGAACGAAGACGATAAGCCGTCCCCAGTTCCGCAACGTCGGCCGTTCTCCATTGCTGATGTTGTGCTTGGATCTGCTGTCACCAAGTCGGTTGGGTCGCTGCTGAACCAAGACGAGAGGCCGGAGCCACCCCGCCTGAACTCCGCAGCCACAGTACCCCGCATGACCCTAAGCCATCCTCAAGAACCACATGAACACCACCGAAGCTCCACAGTTCCTTCGATCCCTATCAACGATCCTAATGAAGTAGCGATGCCAGCCGAGGCACAGACTAAGACAAGTTCACGCAGTGACGTGTATGAAGACGATGAAGAGTGGAAAGCACCACAATCGCGATCGACAAGCTCCACCCCACGGACTGCTCGCAGCACTAAGGAAGACGTGCATGCACCTCCAGCCCATTCGACTGCCTCAACTCCACGCACCAGCCGTAGTGTAACAACAGATGCAGACACCACCCGACAAAATGCCGCTGCAGTGCGGATTCAAGCGGTGAGCAAGGGCTTTTGCGTTCGGCAGCGCATTGCAGAGGGCAATGCTGGAGACATGAGCAGAGCTTACATTGAGCGAAAACACTTGACCGTTGCCTTCGACCGTGCAGTAAGTAGAGTGACGAGTTCTGCTCCTAGTGTCTCGTATTGACTGCTAACTTTTGCATGGTGCTTGTGTAGCTGGAGCTTGAGCAAGAGTTTCTAGAGGAGCTCAGCGCAGTCAAGATCCAGGCGCTGGTGCGCGGCCACCAAAGCCGGTTACTCACCGAATGCATGAAGGCAGGTGTCTACACAGCGGCGAGTACGATTCAAAGGTCCTTCCGACAACATCGATACAACACCCAGCGCGCGGTCGACGAAGGCGTGCGCAGCATAGCTGCTCGTGCAATTCAACAGGTTTATCGAGAGTACGAGACACGACGGGTAGCTATTCACCAAGCTGCAGTGCACCAGGAGCTCCTGAGCGTCCAACAGATTGCCGCCAGCACGATCCAACACTTCTGGAGACAGTACTTCAGTACCCGCGATCACTGCCTTGAAGAGATTGAGGCTGCTACGTGCATTCAAGCTCTCGGACGTGGCCATCTCACTCGGAAATCCCTGAAGTCTCTGCATGGATCATCGTCAAGTGGGCTCTCAAAACATGTAAGTCACTCTTAAAACAGTCTGAGGACACGGCATCAGGGGGCTAACCATTTGAACGCTTGTGTACTACAGTCATCAGCATTCTCCATGTCGTCTTCCGCTGAGAAACTGCCCGAAGAGGAGGAACCTGGCAGTGGACGCAAGGAACAAACGCTTAGTGTCAACTACAGCTTCCTGCCAGTCAGCATCCGCGAGCTGTACATGTCGTCAAGGGGAATTGAGCTTTTAAGTGCTAACAGTGAGCTGCACGCAGAAGAGATCGCTGAGCTGGGACTTACGTTCGCCGACTTTTTGCGCGAGCTGGAGACCTGTACAGATCTTGTTGTCGGCTCTTCAGCTCTGGATGCCATGCGAATTGTGGTGGAGACGTCCCCAGAGTCCACCAAGACTCTAGCGAATGTAGTCAAAGTAGCACAAACTCTCGATCGGCGGTTGCAGAAGGGTTTCTGGAACGAAGCTATTGAGGCTTCCAGCATCGCTTTGCTCCAGGCCTTCCGTGACGTATTAGACGTTCAGTAAATAATAATAAGTGGACAGAGCATGGCAACGCATAGCGCGCAACGATCTTCATTCTCCATCTAACTCATCACCTCACTGCTATGCTGTCGAGGGACCTCGTGATGTCCTCGACTCGCCGCATCAATTCCAAGAACGAACGATCTAAAGAGACTTGAGCTGTCCCATGAGGTCCTCCAGGCTAACGTCCGCGTCCGATACTGACGCCGAGTTGTCCTCCTCCGCAGCAGCGGCCGGAGCCGTAGAAGGCTGGTCGTACGCAAACGAGAGTCCCGAGGCCAGCTTCGAGGTCTCAGCGGCGGCAGGAGCTTCCGTAACACCCAAGCCAACAGCTTCGTCGTCACCGCCGAGCTCAATCCCCCACTCGTTGTCTTCGTGCTCCACGACCAGGTTCTCCTTTCCGCCGTAGCCAAGTGCCTTCCAGACCATCGGCGTCCAGCCAGCGTGCTCAGGCACAGCCTGCTGCTTGCGGCACTGCACGTTTGAGCACTCCGGGTTCGGACGCATCACGTCCGACGGGAAGAAATCATTCATGGCGCTGTAGCCCAGGTAGTACGACACCTGGCCGAAGCCCAGCAGGTACTTGAGCACATTCTGCACCAGCATGGCAGCGACTAGCCCCATGGTCGTGGGCAGCGAGGCCGCGCACACGCCCTCGCGCTTGAGCGTGGACTCGTCAATGCCGCTGGCTACGATCAGTGGAGGTAGGCACTCGAAGCACGCCGTGCGTCCGGGCAGCAGGAACTGGATGTGGCCCGAGACGGCGTCCTCCGACACGCCCGACTCCAACCACTCCTGGTTGAGCTCGTTGCACGCCTGGTTGAGCGCCGTGCGCGCCGCGTAGTTGTCCACGCAGCTCAGCACCAAGTCGATCTTGCTCTTGCCGTCCACGCCACCGTGCTGCATCCGGTCCAGCAGCTGCTCGAAGTTGGCCGTCGTCGTGATGTCCATCGTGTACTCCTCGAAGATCACGTCCGGGTTGATACCTAGGCACCAAATACACATGAGTAAATCCCTTCCTGCCTATAATTGCGGGCCCAATTGAAGCTGAGCCCACTCACTGTGCAGCGTCTGCTTGGCCGCTGCCGTCTTGGTCATGCCCGCCTGCTCCGGGCGGAAGAAGAGGCGGTTCATGTTGGCGATCTCCACCGTGTCGTAGTCGTACATGATGAGCTTGCCGATGCCGCAGCGCGTGAGCATCTCGGCCGCCACGGAGCCGATGCCGCCCAGGCCCACGATGAGCACCGAGAAGTCGCGGATCTTCTCGTAGTTGTCCACGATGCCCATACGCTTGAGCGCCATGAGGCGGCTGTACGGGTTGCTGTCCACCACCTCGGCGCTCATCTGCTTGGCGCGCGCGCCGCCGGCCTCGCGCTCCAGCCGCGCCTGCACCGCCGCCTTCTGCTGCATCAGGTCGGCGATCTGCCGGTCCAGCGCGCGCAGCTCCGCCTCCGTCGACGGCATCGTTGGACTCCAGAAATGTGCCACGCAAGACTTGTTAAAAATAATTTCAATATATATTTAAATTATATTTATTGCACCTTCTCTAGTTTTGATAAAAAAACTGGTAAAAGAGAATGACATTTTTTTTACCCAAAAGTTCTTAAAACTCAGGGTCTTAAAGTGGTATGGATGAATATAGTGGTCTTTCCGACTGGCAGGATTGTGATTGGGCCCAATCAGTTCGCGTTTTGACCAATCACGGAGCTTCAATAGTGTAGTTTCGGCAAATAGGAGATAATAGGGGTAGGTTTCCGGTTCCGACACTTTCCGACAAATATTTGTCGGAATCCACACAGTAATATGAATATGTACATACAAATATCAAGTAGTTAACATATTTTTTAAATATTGTCATGGCTCTGACAACTAGGTATATTCCTAAGGTAGGAAACCGGTCGGTGGATAGGATAACCAGTACGTAGGCTTTGCGTTTGACCACACAGCTAAAAGAACCAAGCAGTAGCAGACGAAGCAGCATGAGCTTAGCTGCCTTCGTTCCTACGAACACGCAGAAGGCGCGGAATACTGCCGTCGCCGCATTCAAGCGGATGTTGGAGGAGGAGAAGGTCAGCCTTGAGTTTGTCGAGGCTAGCATTCTCTTGGATGCCTCCGGCAAACGTTTAGCGGCGACGATGGACCGCTTTGGCTTCTACCTCGCAACCAACGAAGGTAAGAAAGGTAAGTTAGCCCGCAACACGGCAACAGCGTATCATAGAAATGTCAAGTTGTGGCTATTTGACAAGTATCCACACTTGCGAGTACCTACTGAGTTGATCTTGCTAAAGCAAGGGAAGACTTTAGATAAACATTGCATGAAACGCGTGGTTAATAAGGCTCCACCTTGTATTAAGGAGGATTTACAGTCTTTAGTCCGTTACGTGTACAGCACAGCACGCGTGCACACCGACTACCAAGACGCAGCACTAGCGTGCTTGATGTGGCACTGCTTTGGCCGGTCTTCGGACCTCGGCTATATCCAAAAACAGCACGTGTCTGTATCGGCAGACGGCACCTTCTATCTGCGGCTGCTACGTGTCAAGACATCAGAATAACAGGATCTTACCTTGATCCCGGACAAGAGCGACTTCTTGACGTGTCCCTTCACGCTCTGGCCGTAGCGCTAGCGACGCAGGACGCGCCATACGCGGCACTCCTGTCCCAGTTGCCCGATCTCGTAGCGGAGGTCGCCGTGTCACTTGACGAAGGTGCACCGCTGCTGGAGCTGCTGGAAGCCGAGCCCGCTTCGCTCGACGTCGCTGTGGTCCCGACGTAGTCGTCCCTGCCTTCAATGCTCGCGGCCGGCAACGTATCCTCTGTTCCACCGCCGCAAACCTGCCCGGACACACAAGAAACATCAACACCAGCCCCAACCGAGGCACGCACCGGTGAGGTCAAGCGCGGCGAAGACAGCGTGCAGGCGTACGTAAAAAGGATCCTCAAGCGCGTCGCCGAGCCGGCAGGAGCCACCCCTGACCTGACCTCGCACTCCTTCCGGCGTGGCGGGGCCCAGCATGCGAACGGAGATGACTGCCTCGCCGCCCAGTGGATCTTCGATCGCGGTGCTTGGGATATGACCAAGACGAACAAGGCCTTCGCCTACATCACTAACACGGCACGCGAGGACAGGAAGGTGGCGCGGGTCTTGAGTGGGTGGGCGGCAGACGACGTTCCAGCGGTCATCGACGTCGCGACGCTTGATCACGCCAGTCAAGAACGCGTCGGCTGATTGCAGGGCTTCCTGTTCAATTCCTGTACAGGTCTCAAGCAACGACGTCTAAATGTAAGCACCAAGGTCCTCAGTGTCCTCACTGCGTACCTGGTCCGTTACTACCCGCAGCTCAAGGAACTCTCACCCGCGGCCCCCATTGTCACGCGCGTGGAAGAGAGCTTGCGTGCTGCAGACATCCCGATCGGCGACATGCTTGCGAGGTCAGTCGCGCTGGACAGCGAAGCCGCTCCGCCTGCTCAAGAACAAGCCCAAACACAAGACGCAAGCCAACACCACTGTCCAAGCATCGATCACCTTCTAGCTGTCATTCATGAGATTATCGCCTCAAACAAGGCCCTAGCTGCGCGGTTGACGATTGTCGAGGCGGCTCAGATGAAAGCTAAGGAGCCGCGTAGACCCGCTGAAGAAGACCAAGCAAAGGAATCGTTGGACCAAGAGCCCAAGCCAAAACGGAGGAAGAAGCAAGTTACGCACCTGTCGGCTGCATGGTACGAGTGGTACACCCGTGTTCCTTGCGTCTGGGACTGCTCTGACCGCCAAAAGAAGTCCGAATCACGCCACGTCGTCGCCTTCATGAAGCTGTTCCTCGAAGACGGCTTTACGCTTGACCCCACGGTTGCAGACTACAAGGATCAGGTCTTGGACGCCGGCCGCCGTGCTGAAGATGCCGTGTTGGACTTCCTAAAGTCGCGGAACATCAACGCGAAGGGCGCTGGCACTGTTTTGCGCGCGCTGCGTCCCCTGCACAAGTGCGGCGTCTTGGACAAACGCATCGCAGCCCACAAGCGTCTCCTCGCTACAGGCCGAATTGAAGACCCTGCTCCTGCAGACACACAGGACCTATTAGCTTAGCTCGTCAAGCCTGACCGGTATAGTATCGAGAATCCCCGAAGTCGCAAACCGCCGAGCGTACACAGTCGAGTAAACCCGAAATCACGCACCGTCGAGAATACCCAAAATCGCCCACAGTCGAGTAAACCCGAACCTGCTGTTAATGGGAGTAAGCGACACTCGCGAGCCACCGATGAGCGGCAGTTGTCAAAAAGTAGAATGACTAAACAGCATGCTTCTCAACCAATCATTTATGGTATAGTATGCATTCTGACCAATAGGATTTAAGAAATTTCATCCAATGAAATGTAAGGTACATGTCAAGTTTATCCGAAACGCGACACATCGATTCTTGCCAAGATGTCGAGCTCAGATCAGCGGACGAATGCGGAGAAGATCGAGATCCTGCTCACATGCGAGCGAAATGGATGGGACGCTACCGAGGGGGGTCGTCGTCATGGTGTGGCTCGGACAACCTTGCTGGGTTGGATGACTAACAAGCACAAGTTATTCTCGTCCCAGGCCGATCCATCCGCAAAGCGGGCAGCGCCACCAGGCATGGTCCCTCCGACGCTTCAATACGAGGCTGGTATTGTTGAGCGGATCAAGGCAAAAGTGGCAAACGGCCAGGTGGTGTGCAGAGATGATGTTATCGCGGATGCTACGTCGACAATACCTGGCTTTGCGGAGCGCAAACCCGTGGCTCAGAGTTCGTGGACTATCCGGTTTATAGGCCGCCACAATCTAAGCACTTTCATCTCACGACGACTCCAGAATACCGGCATGGCAGCGCCAAATGTGAATGAACCCCCCCAATAATAGACACAAGCGTCACTATCGACTTTAGCCGAAACCCCCCAGCCTCCAGCCAAGTCGACTTTGGCCGAAAAATCCCAGCCTCCAGCCAAGTCGACTATAGCCGAAAAATCCCAGCCTCCAGCCGAGTCGACTTTGGCCGAAAAAACCCAGCCTCCAGCCAAGTCGACTTTGGCCGAAAACCCCAAGTCGACGGAGGTCATATCACTGTTGAATGATGACAGTGAGAAGTCCAGCGTCCCATTTGATTTTGGAGATGTGTGGGATATATCGCAGTCCGAGATTGTGTGTGAAACAAAACCCCATGCTTTGTTGTGGGCAAAACCAGCATGCGTTTGCTGGTGACAGCGGAAGATGTCCCGACAATTAAAGACCAAAATTGGCTGAACGATGTGATTATGTCCTATTACATCCGAGTGCACCTCCCGCAACACGGCCGAACGTTTGTCATGGATGCAAACGTATTTGGACACATCTACAGCGAGTTCGTTCAAGTGGAGCGAAAAATTGGACTTGCGCACGAGCACTGTTGCGGTATCACCGCAACATTTCCGTACGAGAAGTACGATCACGTGATTTTACCTATATGCATGGGCAATCACTGGACGTTTGCCATTGGGCAAAACCCTGTAGGCACGACGCAGAATCTGAGGAAATGCCTTGTGCATGTAGACTCGAAAGGAATCTCCAGCATCGAAGCGATTAAAAAAGTTGTCGGTGGATATTTCGACGCGGAGCTGCGAACTAAATATCCTGACAACGCAGCACCAGCGTTCGTCGTGAGAGGAGTCCGAACAAGCCCGGCACAGATAAACCACGATGACTGCGGAATATTTGTTCTATACTTCATCAAGCGCACGGTCGAGGCATTTCAAACCGGGAATACGCTTCTCTTAAGCGATATCAAGAAGATATGCACAAATCCAAGGTCCGCGCGCTTCAACGCAAAACTGATGCGGATGCAGATCATAGAGAGCCTGACACAAACGCACGCGACGGCTCACTGGAATTCGGGTCTCGGTTAATTTAATACATGTATTACACGTATACATACAAAACGTCGCTAGTGCCCCAAACCTTACAGAGAACAGAGATTAGCACAGGAGCTAGAGCACCGCGCACCCAAATGCAGCACCGATATATACGTAGATGGCGCTACTCCTGGCACGACCACAGCGCGACAATGCGCGGGCAAAACAACTTGAAGCATAACGCAGACGCACAATCTGTGACGCAGCAGCAAGACCCTTGGCACAGCACGACACGACCGCAAAATCCCATCGTGATCAATAACACCGACCCGAATTGAACGAGCATCTCAGGGTGGATGCCCTGCGCTCTTCCATTGAGCTACGGTGTTGGGAGGGGGGGGGGGGGGGTGGCCGGCCAGTTGTCTTGTCTTGGGTGTGGATGTGTGCGCGGAGGGGTGCAGGAGACTTGATCAGTAGCTCTAATAAAAAGGAGACTGAACGCTCTGAGCCGCGTGTCGGCGACGTACAATGCCTAGCAGCCACCAATTTCAGACAGGAGGCGAGTATCTATTGGCTGTAGAGAGAACTAATCAACGATCATCGTTAAATACATGTCCTCTATTGGCTAATAGATTGGTCAATGGGATGCCTCAAAGGAGTTAGCTGGCGTCGGACTGCTTCTAATTGTGACCCCCTGTCCTGGAGCCGGCCTTATTCATGAATTTGCCGGCTCCGACACACATTGCTCCCGGGGCCGTAATGCATGAATACACAAAATACCGTTTTTCCTGGCCTACAGGCCTCTAGAAGCGATTTCCTCGTGGCTGAGAGCCTCTCATGAAGCTGGCTGGAAGCACCAAAAACGCCCCCTAGACCTAATCTACCGTATATATTATGTGATTTCCGATCTTACACTATTTCCGATTTTGCCTTGGCTTTGGCCTTTATCCTGTCTGTCGGAAAATGTAGGGATGTCGGAACGGACGCGATATGGCTGGTTTTATCAGTGACGTGGGTGGGATCATAAAAAAAGTGGGTTTTAACCCCCGGGACAACAGGGACTTATACCGGTTACCTGGTTGATCCTGTGGCTAAAGCCACAGTCGATGCCAGTGGATAGCAGTGAATGATACGACCGACCGGGGCCGACACGGTGGCCGTGGACACGAGCAGTGCCACCACGATACTACCACAGCAGCGTTGAAATAGCGCGACATCACGACCCTCATCCTCGCCTGCTTTCCCCACCGGTCTGTCCTCATCCACCGAAGGCTCTCGCACGCCGTCGCTGTGCTCCAGGACGATGGAGCCGCGATACTGCGTCGATCGGTTGACTGCAACACCCGCTCGTACAGAATGACATCGCCACTCGCCTCGGCCTCCGTGCTGCCAGATAACACAATCCTCGGCCCACTCCACGCTACTCCTCGACGTGGCTTGCCGCCAACATCATTCCGACCAGCACGTCTATGCCGGCGACATGCCGGCCTCAGCGCACAAAGCGCTTCTTGTTCACATCACTGCCCCCAACGACCGACCGGGGCCGACACGGTGGCCGTGGACACGAGCAGTGCCACCACGATACTACCACAGCAGCGTTGAAATAGCGCGACATCACGACCCTCATCCTCGCCTGCTTTCCCCACCGGTCTGTCCTCATCCACCGAAGGCTCTCGCACGCCGTCGCTGTGCTCCAGGACGATGGAGCCGCGATACTGCGTCGATCGGTTGACTGCAACACCCGCTCGTACAGAATGACATCGCCACTCGCCTCGGCCTCCGTGCTGCCAGATAACACAATCCTCGGCCCACTCCACGCTACTCCTCGACGTGGCTTGCCGCCAACATCATTCCGACCAGCACGTCTATGCCGGCGACATGCCGGCCTCAGCGCACAAAGCGCTTCTTGTTCACATCACTGCCCCCAACGACCGACCGGGGCCGACACGGTGGCCGTGGACACGAGCAGTGCCACCACGATACTACCACAGCAGCGTTGAAATAGCGCGAGATCACGACCATCGTCCTCGCCTGCTTTCCCCACCGGTCTGTCCTCATCCACCGAAGGCTCTCGCACGCCGTCGCTGTGCTCCAGGACGATGGAGCCGCGATACTGCGTCGATCGGTTGACTGCAACACCCGCTCGTACAGAATGACATCGCCACTCGCCTCGGCCTCCGTGCTGCCAGATAACACAATCCTCGGCCCACTCCACGCTACTCCTCGACGTGGCTTGCCGCCAACATCATTCCGACCAGCACGTCTATGCCGGCGACATGCCGGCCTCAGCGCACAAAGCGCTTCTTGTTCACATCACTGCCCCCAACGACCGACCGGGGCCGACACGGTGGCCGTGGACACGAGCAGTGCCACCACGATACTACCACAGCAGCGTTGAAATAGCGCGACATCACGACCCTCATCCTCGCCTGCTTTCCCCACCGGTCTGTCCTCATCCACCGAAGGCTCTCGCACGCCGTCGCTGTGCTCCAGGACGATGGAGCCGCGATACTGCGTCGATCGGTTGACTGCAACACCCGCTCGTACAGAATGACATCGCCACTCGCCTCGGCCTCCGTGCTGCCAGATAACACAATCCTCGGCCCACTCCACGCTACTCCTCGACGTGGCTTGCCGCCAACATCATTCCGACCAGCACGTCTATGCCGGCGACATGCCGGCCTCAGCGCACAAAGCGCTTCTTGTTCACATCACTGCCCCCAACGACCGACCGGGGCCGACACGGTGGCCGTGGACACGAGCAGTGCCACCACGATACTACCACAGCAGCGTTGAAATAGCGCGACATCACGACCCTCATCCTCGCCTGCTTTCCCCACCGGTCTGTCCTCATCCACCGAAGGCTCTCGCACGCCGTCGCTGTGCTCCAGGACGATGGAGCCGCGATACTGCGTCGATCGGTTGACTGCAACACCCGCTCGTACAGAATGACATCGCCACTCGCCTCGGCCTCCGTGCTGCCAGATAACACAATCCTCGGCCCACTCCACGCTACTCCTCGATGTGGCTTGCCGCCAACATCATTCCGACCAGCACGTCTATGCCGGCGACATGCCGGCCTCAGCGCACAAAGCGCTTCTTGTTCACATCACTGCCCCCAACGACCGACCGGGGCCGACACGGTGGCCGTGGACACGAGCAGTGCCACCACGATACTACCACAGCAGCGTTGAAATAGCGCGACATCACGACCCTCATCCTCGCCTGCTTTCCCCACCGGTCTGTCCTCATCCACCGAAGGCTCTCGCACGCCGTCGCTGTGCTCCAGGACGATGGAGCCGCGATACTGCGTCGATCGGTTGACTGCAACACCCGCTCGTACAGAATGACATCGCCACTCGCCTCGGCCTCCGTGCTGCCAGATAACACAATCCTCGGCCCACTCCACGCTACTCCTCGACGTGGCTTGCCGCCAACATCATTCCGACCAGCACGTCTATGCCGGCGACATGCCGGCCTCAGCGCACAAAGCGCTTCTTGTTCACATCACTGCCCCCAACGACCGACCGGGGCCGACACGGTGGCCGTGGACACGAGCAGTGCCACCACGATACTACCACAGCAGCGTTGAAATAGCGCGACATCACGACCATCGTCCTCGCCTGCTTTCCCCACCGGTCTGTCCTCATCCACCGAAGGCTCTCGCACGCCGTCGCTGTGCTCCAGGACGATGGAGCCGCGATACTGCGTCGATCGGTTGACTGCAACACCCGCTCGTACAGAATGACATCGCCACTCGCCTCGGCCTCCGTGCTGCCAGATAACACAATCCTCGGCCCACTCCACGCTACTCCTCGACGTGGCTTGCCGCCAACATCATTCCGACCAGCACGTCTATGCCGGCGACATGCCGGCCTCAGCGCACAAAGCGCTTCTTGTTCACATCACTGCCCCCAACGACCGACCGGGGCCGACACGGTGGCCGTGGACACGAGCAGTGCCACCACGATACTACCACAGCAGCGTTGAAATAGCGCGACATCACGACCCTCATCCTCGCCTGCTTTCCCCACCGGTCTGTCCTCATCCACCGAAGGCTCTCGCACGCCGTCGCTGTGCTCCAGGACGATGGAGCCGCGATACTGCGTCGATCGGTTGACTGCAACACCCGCTCGTACAGAATGACATCGCCACTCGCCTCGGCCTCCGTGCTGCCAGATAACACAATCCTCGGCCCACTCCACGCTACTCCTCGACGTGGCTTGCCGCCAACATCATTCCGACCAGCACGTCTATGCCGGCGACATGCCGGCCTCAGCGCACAAAGCGCTTCTTGTTCACATCACTGCCCCCAACGACCGACCGGGGCCGACACGGTGGCCGTGGACACGAGCAGTGCCACCACGATACTACCACAGCAGCGTTGAAATAGCGCGACATCACGACCATCGTCCTCGCCTGCTTTCCCCACCGGTCTGTCCTCATCCACCGAAGGCTCTCGCACGCCGTCGCTGTGCTCGGTGTTGAACATCTTTGAAAAAATAAAACAAACAGGTAGCTAGAGGAAAAAGCAAAGGATATGTATTTGAAGCGTGTTAGTTGCCTGCAATACCGTTAGCACGCTCAATATGCTCTCGGTCCGCAGGTACCAAGTTCGAAAGTGGCTCCAGTGTATTGGGCCAGTTCATCAAGACCCTGAGGTCGCCGTCTGCTGGATAGTGTATACCCCGTATAACCTCGTAGTGGTATGTAGGAGGCCCGACAGGCATTTGCTGTGGTCGGCGCAGGTACCTTGCAAGGGCGCGTGCATCCGCAGGGTACAAGGCGGAAAAAGGTTCGAGCGTGTCCTCCCATTCCACCCACGCTCGGATCTCTCCATCTGTCATTCGCTCAGTACCAACTACGCGCACGTAGGGATACGCCCTCTCCTCAGGTGGTACTTCATCAACTTGCGGCGGGTCCTCGTCAGTCTCGGACTCAGCGTCAGTCGTCTCTCCTGGTGAGCCGGGCGGAGGACTAGAGGCTGTCGGGGCACTAGCTGCTCTCGGCGGACTAGAAGCTCTCGGCGGACTAGGAGCTCCAGGAGGACTACCCGCTTTCGGTGGACCGGGAGCTATCGCCAAGCCAGGAGCACTCGTCGTCCGACGAGCTCTCGCCGGACTAGGAGCTCTCGCCGGACTAGGAACACTAACGCCATGCACACCTCCTTCTTCCTCTTTCTCTTCGCCTTCGTCATACGTGTATTCTTCGTCGCTAGCGAAACCGTCGTCACTGATCTGGCTGGTCGTCGCAGCGCTGACCGCGTCGATCTCTTGATTGCCGGACTTCGACGAGCATGGAGCTCCAAGGGAACTGGTATCCCTCGCTGGACCAGACGCTGTCAGCACACCAGAAATTCTCGTTAGGTCAAACGCTGTCGGGGGGCTTGGTGATCTAGGAGGACTTGTCGGGACAGAAGCTGGTGATTGTGGCGATCGCAACGGAGCTCTTGGCGGGGGCGTCGGGGTGGACAGAGATGGATGCGGAGTCAGCAGCGGGAACGCGGCAAGCAATGACGAGGCTTGTCCCTGCTGGGGGTGAAAGTCCTGCTGTTGCTGACGCTGCTGCTTGGTACTGCGCTGATGCCTGCGGTGAGCCGATCTCCTCGCCATGACCACCAAGGTCGTGGGTAGGAAAGTACCAAATGACCAGGTCGACAGTGCGTTGCGCCTTTAGAGTTATTTTTTTCTTCTTCTAAACCCGGCTTGACTATACATGTAGTAGACGCATGTGCTTTTGGTCGAACGTGGTGGAGTCCATCGCCAAGGCCGGTGATATCTCGCATTACCCATGGCGCGACAGCTCGGCTACCTGGTTAGCCCGTCCCTCTCTAGGGCTCTCGCACGGCATGTCGCCATAGAGCCAATCGAGCCACGATAGTTCCCAGCCGGGCGTTGACAACACGACCTGTGGATGTAGTGCACGACCACGTTCACAAACGCATCGTATCTATCGTCTTCTTGCCATGGTGCCGTCGAGACACACAGCTCTGGTCCGTCCTCGACGTAGCTTGCCACCTGTCGCCAACAGTGATCAGGCTAGAAATGCACAAAAGCGCACAACACAAGCGCTTCTTGTTCACATCGTTGCCCACAACGACCAGAGCCGACACGCTGGCCGTAGATACGAGCAGTGACGCCACGATACAACCACAGCAGCGCTGCAATAGCGCGAGATCACGCCCGCCGTCCTCCCCGACCGTCCCCACCAGTCTGGCCTGGGCCAACGAAGGCTCTCGCACGCCGGCGCTGTGCTCCAGGTCGATGGAGCCGAGATACTGCGTCGATCGGTTGGCGGCAACGCCGGCACGTACAGAATGACATCGCCACTCGCCTCGGCCTCCGTACCGCCATCAAACGCGACGCTCGGCCCACTCCACGCTACTCCTCGACGTGGCTTGCCGCCAACATCATTCCGACCAGCACGTATGTGCGGGCGACATGCCGGCCGCAGCGCACAAAGCGCTTCTTGTTCATATCACTGCGCCAAAAAGCTTGTTGTGAGCGGTGCGTTGCGATCGGTGAACAGAGCTACACCGGATGTCGACACCTACACTTATTCATGGTACTGTCGGATCCTCGAATCGACAGCTTGCAGCCAACAACAGTAGCTCACGCTACTGGCGGCCACACCAGCTTCTGTAGCCAACAACAGTAGCTTACGCTACCGACGGCCACTCCACGGCAGGCCTCGATGCAGCTTGTCAGCGGCGTGAACCTCCCCCGCATCGCCCAAAGTGCTTCAGCGCAGCAGCCGCCAGCGGCTGGCATTTTTTTCTCACGGATTTATGGCACATGGTACCACAATTGGCGTCCTTCCACCACAGATGGTACATGGTACCATAATCGCGTCCTTCCAGCACAGATGCGAGCCGGCGCTGCCGACAACCGATCGACATAGTACCGCGGCTCCATCGGCCTGGAGCACAGCGCCGGCGTGCGAGAGCCTTCAGTGGATGAGGACAGACTGGTGGGGACGGTTGGGGAGGACGACGGACCTGATCGCTATTGCAGCGCTGCTGTGGTTGTATCGTGGCGTCACTGCTCGTATCTACGGCCAGCGTGTCGGCTCTGGTCGTTGTGGGCAACGATGTGAACAAGAAGCGCTTGTGTTGTGCGCTTTTGTGCATTTCTAGCCTGATCACTGTTGGCGACAGGTGGCAAGCTACGTCGAGGACGGACCAGAGCTGTGTGTCTCGACGGCACCATGGCAAGAAGACGATAGATACGATGCGTTTGTGAACGTGGTCGTGCACTACATCCACAGGTCGTGTTGTCAACGCCCGGCTGGGAACTATCGTGGCTCGATTGGCTCTATGGCGACATGCCGTGCGAGAGCCCTAGAGAGGGACGGGCTAACCAGGTAGCCGAGCTGTCGCGCCATGGGTAATGCGAGATATCACCGGCCTTGGCGATGGACTCCACCACGTTCGACCAAAAGCACATGCGTCTACTACATGTATAGTCAAGCCGGGTTTAGAAGAAGAAAAAAATAACTCTAAAGGCGCAACGCACTGTCGACCTGGTCATTTGGTACTTTCCTACCCACGACCTTGGTGGTCATGGCGAGGAGATCGGCTCACCGCAGGCATCAGCGCAGTACCAAGCAGCAGCGTCAGCAACAGCAGGACTTTCACCCCCAGCAGGGACAAGCCTCGTCATTGCTTGCCGCGTTCCCGCTGCTGACTCCGCATCCATCTCTGTCCACCCCGACGCCCCCGCCAAGAGCTCCGTTGCGATCGCCACAATCACCAGCTTCTGTCCCGACAAGTCCTCCTAGATCACCAAGCCCCCCGACAGCGTTTGACCTAACGAGAATTTCTGGTGTGCTGACAGCGTCTGGTCCAGCGAGGGATACCAGTTCCCTTGGAGCTCCATGCTCGTCGAAGTCCGGCAATCAAGAGATCGACGCGGTCAGCGCTGCGACGACCAGCCAGATCAGTGACGACGGTTTCGCTAGCGACGAAGAATACACGTATGACGAAGGCGAAGAGAAAGAGGAAGAAGGAGGTGTGCATGGCGTTAGTGTTCCTAGTCCGGCGAGAGCTCCTAGTCCGGCGAGAGCTTCTAGTCCGCCGAGAGCAGCTAGTGCCCCGACAGCCTCTAGTCCTCCGCCCGGCTCACCAGGAGAGACGACTGACGCTGAGTCCGAGACTGACGAGGACCCGCCGCAAGTTGATGAAGTACCACCTGAGGAGAGGGCGTATCCCTACGTGCGCGTAGTTGGTACTGAGCGAATGACAGATGGAGAGATCCGAGCGTGGGTGGAATGGGAGGACACGCTCGAACCTTTTTCCGCCTTGTACCCTGCGGATGCACGCGCCCTTGCAAGGTACCTGCGCCGACCACAGCAAATGCCTGTCGGGCCTCCTACATACCACTACGAGGTTATACGGGGTATACACTATCCAGCAGACGGCGACCTCAGGGTCTTGATGAACTGGTCCAATACACTGGAGCCACTTTCGAACTTGGTACCTGCGGACCGAGAGCATATTGAGCGTGCTAACGGTATTGCAGGCAACTAACACGCTTCAAATACATATCCTTTGCTTTTTCCTCTAGCTACCTGTTTGTTTTATTTTTTCAAAGATGTTCAACACCGTCCTAGCCAACATGCTTGATGTGTGCTTGCCAGCATAAGCTGCTCAGTGTAGTACGCAGCTTCAAATATTACTCAACGGAATCGAGCTTCACAGCTCCCATCACTAATGGAAACGCTGTTGACCGAACGGCGTGCCACCGTCAACGGATTGCCGTCCGCAACGCCTAAAACAGCTTTTTCTGATCAAATCAGTATCGACTGCGGTCAACGCCGCCACGCTGGCCATGGACACGACCAGTGCCTCCACGATACTACCACGGCAGCGCTGCAATAGCGCGAGATCACGTCCCTCGTCCTCGCCTGCTTTCCCCACTAGTCCGTCCTCATCCAACGAAGGCTCTCGCATGCCGTCGTTGTCCTCCTGGCCGATGGAGCCGCAATACTTTGTCGGTCAGTTGGCGGCAACGCCGACTCGTTCAGAATCGCATTGCCACTCGCCTCGAGAGAGCGAGAGCCTTCGATGGATGAGGACAGACCGGTGGGGAAAGCAGGCGAGGACGATGGTCGTGATCTCGCGCTATTTCAACGCTGCTGTGGTAGTATCGTGGTGGCACTGCTCGTGTCCACGGCCACCGTGTCGGCCCCGGTCGGTCGTTGGGGGCAGTGATGTGAACAAGAAGCGCTTTGTGCGCTGAGGCCGGCATGTCGCCGGCATAGACGTGCTGGTCGGAATGATGTTGGCGGCAAGCCACGTCGAGGAGTAGCGTGGGGTGGGCCGAGGATTGTGTTATCTGGCAGCACGGAGGCCGAGGCGAGTGGCGATGTCATTCTGTACGAGCGGGTGTTGCAGTCAACCGATCGACGCAGTATCGCGGCTCCATCGTCCTGGAGCACAGCGACGGCGTGCGAGAGCCTTCGGTGGATGAGGACAGACCGGTGGGGAAAGCAGGCGAGGATGAGGGTCGTGATGTCGCGCTATTTCAACGCTGCTGTGGTAGTATCGTGGTGGCACTGCTCGTGTCCACGGCCACCGTGTCGGCCCCGGTCGGTCGTTGGGGGCAGTGATGTGAACAAGAAGCGCTTTGTGCGCTGAGGCCGGCATGTCGCCGGCATAGACGTGCTGGTCGGCCCGACGCCCCCGCCAAGAGCTCCGTTGCGATCGCCACAATCACCAGCTTCTGTCCCGACAAGTCCTCCTAGATCACCAAGCCCCCCGACAGCGTTTGACCTAACGAGAATTTCTGGTGTGCTGACAGCGTCTGGTCCAGCGAGGGATACCAGTTCCCTTGGAGCTCCATGCTCGTCGAAGTCCGGCAATCAAGAGATCGACGCGGTCAGCGCTGCGACGACCAGCCAGATCAGTGACGACGGTTTCGCTAGCGACGAAGAATACACGTATGACGAAGGCGAAGAGAAAGAGGAAGAAGGAGGTGTGCATGGCGTTAGTGTTCCTAGTCCGGCGAGAGCTCCTAGTCCGGCGAGAGCTTCTAGTCCGCCGAGAGCAGCTAGTGCCCCGACAGCCTCTAGTCCTCCGCCCGGCTCACCAGGAGAGACGACTGACGCTGAGTCCGAGACTGACGAGGACCCGCCGCAAGTTGATGAAGTACCACCTGAGGAGAGGGCGTATCCCTACGTGCGCGTAGTTGGTACTGAGCGAATGACAGATGGAGAGATCCGAGCGTGGGTGGAATGGGAGGACACGCTCGAACCTTTTTCCGCCTTGTACCCTGCGGATGCACGCGCCCTTGCAAGGTACCTGCGCCGACCACAGCAAATGCCTGTCGGGCCTCCTACATACCACTACGAGGTTATACGGGGTATACACTATCCAGCAGACGGCGACCTCAGGGTCTTGATGAACTGGTCCAATACACTGGAGCCACTTTCGAACTTGGTACCTGCGGACCGAGAGCAGGTTGAGCGTGCTAACGGTATTGCAGGCAACTAACACGCTTCAAATACATATCCTTTGCTTTTTCCTCTAGCTACCTGTTTGTTTTATTTTTTCAAAGATGTTCAACACCGTCCTAGCCAACATGCTTGATGTGTGCTTGCCAGCATAAGCTGCTCAGTGTAGTACGCAGCTTCAAATATTACTCAACGGAATCGAGCTTCACAGCTCCCATCACTAATGGAAACGCTGTTGACCGAACGGCGTGCCACCGTCAACGGATTGCCGTCCGCAACGCCTAAAACAGCTTTTTCTGATCAAATCAGTATCGACTGCGGTCAACGCCGCCACGCTGGCCATGGACACGACCAGTGCCTCCACGATACTACCACGGCAGCGCTGCAATAGCGCGAGATCACGCCCGCCGTCCTCCCCGACCGTCCCCACCAGTCTGGCCTGGGCCAACGAAGGCTCTCGCACGCCATCGCTGTGCTCCAGGTCGATGGAGCCGAGATACTGCGTCGATCGGTTGGCGGCAACGCCGGCACGTACAGAATGACATCGCCACTCGCCTCGGCCTCCGTACCGCCATCAAACGCGACGCTCGGTTCACTCCACGCTACTCCTCGACGTGGCTTGCCGCCAACATCATTCCGACCAGCACGTATGTGCGGGCGACATGCCGGCCGCAGCGCACAAAGCGCTTCTTGTTCATATCACTGCGCCAAAAAGCTTGTTGTGAGCGGTGCGTTGCGATCGGTGAACAGAGCTACACCGGATGTCGACACCTACACTTATTCATGGTACTGTCGGATCCTCGAATCGACAGCTTGCAGCCAACAACAGTAGCTCACGCTACTGGCGGCCACACCAGCTTCTGTAGCCAACAACAGTAGCTTACGCTACCGACGGCCACTCCACGGCAGGCCTCGATGCAGCTTGTCAGCGGCGTGAACCTCCCCCGCATCGCCCAAAGTGCTTCAGCGCAGCAGCCGCCAGCGGCTGGCATTTTTTTCTCACGGATTTATGGCACATGGTACCACAATTGGCGTCCTTCCACCACAGATGGTACATGGTACCATAATCGCGTCCTTCCAGCACAGATGCGAGCCGGCGCTGCCGACAACCGATCGACATAGTACCGCGGCTCCATCGGCCTGGAGCACAGCGCCGGCGTGCGAGAGCCTTCAGTGGATGAGGACAGACTGGTGGGGACGGTTGGGGAGGACGACGGACCTGATCGCTATTGCAGCGCTGCTGTGGTTGTATCGTGGTGGCACTGCTTGTTTCCACAAGCAGGTGGACGGCAGCGCCATCGCGCGGCACCTCGACGGCAACAACACCCTCGTGACCGTGTTTATCACGCGCGGATCTGCAGCGACCACATCCAAGTTGCTGAACAGGGGGCCTCTTCTGCCCCATATACGTATTACCTGCTCGATTCCGCTGCATTAGTTGAAGGCGCTGATGAACAGCTTCTTGGTGCTCAATGAACAGGACAAGACGCTGGGCTACGACGCCTACTTTGCCTCGCAGGAGACGCTGAACCTGATCGCGGTCAAGTCGGGCGCCAGCATCGCGTTCGTGGCCACCAAGACGTTCGGCACGCGGACCCGTTGGTGTGCGTAGGCAACAGCGACAGGACGGTCGACTTCTTCGCACGCTGAGCGGTAACGTCCGGTACTGAAAGCTGGCCAAGGACCCCAACGCGCACCCCGTGTTTTTCGAGCAGAAGAACGTCGTCGGCTCGTGGGTGGCGAGGTCCAAGATCAAGAGCATGCCGTTCCGCACGTTCAGCGGCGTGACGTCCAAGGACACGACGCTGAGTGGCCTGACCATCGACAACCGCGCCGGCAACGGCATTACCAAGAACACCGGCGGGGACAGTCACCAAGATGGAGTTGCACGGCGCGATGTTGGTGCTCTTCTTGAAGGTGCCCGTGATGTGGCAGGCGACTGCTGCTTCAGCTGGGTCGGCCGATCCTGTTGCTGCTGCTTGGCGACTGCAAATCGGTACTCGTTTTGGGAAAAGCCCTCCCAACGCACCGCTCTCAGCAAGATTTTTGGAGCTGCGGACGGCATCTGAGAGCCGCAGGTAAACATGGGAGGGGACCGGGAGGCTCCTGTTGTGGCGGATTACGTCGCGGAATGGTCTGGAGTGGCCCGAGTTGCGTGTGATTCGGCAGCACGGTGGCCGAGTCGAGCTCCAATGCACACTGGCGCTGTTGAGGCCATGCCCATAATAACAACACTCTGCGAGAGAGGGGACTCTGTGGTGCTGCAGATGGATGATACCGGTGGCAAGCTGCGTCGAGCACTGGTCCGATATTCGTTCCGTGAGCAGATGCATTGATCAAGGCGAGTGAGGATGCGTTCGTAAACGAGTTCGAGCTTGACATCCTCATGCCAGTGCTGTCGACACCTGCCAAAAAACGATTGCTGCTCCAATCGCCCTAATGGCGCTGCGAAAGGGGTTATAAAGCTAGTAGCTTCAAGCTACACAAGACGGGTTGGGGCGGGTGACGACGGTTGAACCGAACATGGTATTAGAAAACACGACAGACCGGCATTGACAGGATTTTATAGTCGAATACTGTTGAAATACAAACTAATTACAAAAAATCAAAAGAAAATGTATACTCATTCATTGTCGAGGGCTACTAGCAATTGGGGCGGTTAACCGCCATGTCCGTGCGAGGATTGTTTCGAGCTGCGTCGCTTTCCTGTAGGTTGTCGGAACTGCAATTTCTTGTCAAGGTTCACCGGGATACGCTTTCCACAATCCCAGTGCTCATGCCAAATTGCATAGCACAACTTCTTTTCGCCGAATGACTCATGCCGCACCATTTGGCAGAGATAAACACTAAGAAACAAAACACTGTGAGTTTAATACCCCGCGAGTAAAATCAATGAAACTTCACTTACTTGCCGGTGTGATCGTCCGAACAAGCCCGACAGTACCACTTGGTATTTTCCCCCTCTTTCCTTGTGGGGCCAGTAAGCTGCAGACCTTACACGCTCGATGCATCCGCTTGCGGTTAGGGTTTCCGACTTCACCTTGAAAGTCTTGCGTTTCAGTGGGTTCATGGTTCGACAAATTTACCCTTCGACCCGTGGGCCTACACAGGACAACCAATGGGGGTTGAAATGGCTTTTAGAGGAGCAATGCCATGTTAGCAATCGCTTCACTGTCAAAAGAAAACAAAAACTGCTGCAAATAACGTACCATCGGTGATTCCAGCATATCTTCTGGTTGCGTTGCCAGAAGTTGGGCATGTAGCGTTGTGAGAGATTCCGAATGACTCAATCCAGACTTTCCTAGTCTCTGGTTGTGTTCCCGGTGGATAATGTAAGCGTTAACGAGCGCTATGTCAAGCAACCCCAGGAACAGACTTCAGGAAAAGTTAGCAAGCTCTCAACAAGCAACCAAAATTCCCGTCGTACTTACGTCTTGTAGTACGTCTTGAATTTGAATGCCTGTTGAAGTGAAAACAGCTGAAGTCGGAGTTGATCGTGAATATCAACACCTCCCATCTTGTTATGGTAGTCTTTTACCAACTTCGGGCAAGGAATATCGGTGGGTTCGCCTTCCACCCAGGTTTTTCGAACTACAAGATAAGCAATAACAACAGACCGCCAACATTAGATTAGATGACAATCCAACCAATGTATGCAAAGCACCAACCTGTAGTTAGCTGCTGCACACTGGCACCTGTCGCAAGAAAATGAACAGGCTTCGAGTCCCACCAGCAACAAGCTAGCATATCGGGAGCTGCTTTGCATCGGGCCAGAAGATATGATCCGAGCATCGGGCCAGAAAATATGATATCGGGAGCTGCTTTGCATCGGGCCAGAAGATATGATCCGCGAGGAATATCACTAGGCCGTTTCTTGCGCTTTTCTTTCAGGTCCGATGGAAACCCAATGCGTCGGGTCTGAATTGTACCCACTCTGTAGATCTTGTTCGATAGTAGTTCAAGCGCCAGTGCGACAGACATATAGAACCTATCAATGACAACAATTCGATAGTCTTGGTGCTCGCTTGGAAGAACTTTGTCTAGATTTCGTAGAACTGCGGCCGGTCCAGATTTGTCGTCAATTGTTTGTTTACCACCGAGATGAGCCTTTTTCCACAGTAGACTTCCAGTCTAACAATGTGCGCACATTACCACAGGTTAGTTTAGTAGATTCGTTTCTGTAAACAGAGTTTAATACATTACCTCATGCAGTAGGACGTGCGCGGACAGCAAGTCATAAAAAACTTCGTTCCCCATTTATGAGGTTTATCCTTCATAAACATCCGTGTCCCGTTGAATTTCGAATGGGAAGGAATCATTCCCTCGTCAAACGACACAATGGGTCCAGGATTGTAGCCTATTTTGAAGGTTTCCTGAAGAGTGTCGACAACAGGGCGGATTTTCTACGCTCTATCTTGCTGTGCCATGGGGTCGTTGTTATCGGAGAAGTGCAGATGTTGCATTATCTCGTCGAACCTGTAAAGTATAAAAACAATCGTTAGAGGGGGATAATGTATACCTCATCACCTAACAGGCCGTACATTACCTGTTTCGAGGCATCCATGAGCCAAACGTTCCACCCGGAATTGCACCAGTCCTCGTGGTTCTCCAATGGCTCGAAAGACGCCGTTTATGCGGGCAGAGCATGCGCGCTATCAAGAGCCCGAACACGATAGCATACTCATGGGGTGCGAAAGGTTCCATACGTCTAAGGCGCTGGCGTATCTGCTTCAGCGATTCAAAGTCCTTTGATCTCTTACCCCGACGCTTGGATCGCTTTTGGCGGTCTCTTATCTTTCGAGCTCGCGTAATAACCATCTGCGCAGCGTACCGGTTACTTTCATCCGCGATCGTGTGCAGGAGATGCTTCGGGAAAAAACCCAGAACAACTCTATTGGGGACTCCGCGATCTTGAGAATGTCATCTGTCAGTCCCCATGCGCCTTCATACAGCCCACGATAGTCTGGGTTTCTTTCCATGGATCCTGAAACTGCAAAACGGTGAGCGAGGATTCATCACTAAATAATATGCGTAGCTAGCATATCACCTTACCTGGCTCCCACCCAGACGTCTCCCAGGATTTAATCTCGTTTCGGTTTTTTGCCATCTTTAGAAGTGCGTCGTCATCATTTATGTTGTCTGTCTCATCCGCAGAGCTTGTATCATCATCCTGGGCTTGCGTGTCTTGCATTGCCCAATCCTCCAAAGATGAGTCTTCACTGTCGCATTCCTCATCAGATGCCCCGTCAGACTCAAGTCTGGTGTATATTTCGCGATCGTTCTCCCGAAGCACATTGACATCGGCCGTTGTTGCCAACACTTGTTCTCGATGGTTTGCGCGTTGAGCATCGGTCATATCGTCGAATACATCGCTTACGTCAGACTCATCGCTTTCACGATAACTTGCGTCACTTGTCTCTGAGCCGATCAAAGCGTTTGCGCGTTCGAGCAGTTCTAGATTCGATGCCAAGACCGTGGGCCGGGCCCCAGCAACTACTGCTATCGAACCAGCTCGTGGTGGGAGTCTCTTGGACCTTTGCGTCGGTGTCGTGGCCCTAGCAGCTGACCCCGTTGATCCCACCACCGTGGACTCGCTGGCAGCAGCGGACTCCGACACCTTGGCCACTGGTGCACGTCGCTTGATGGGCTTCGGCTTCTGTGCTGTGGCCGCAGTTGACCCAGTTGGACCAGCGATCGCAGCCTCGCAACTAGCACCGGGCTCCGGCTGCTTGGGTGTCGTGTGCTCCTGCACCAAGGGGGGAGTGAACGCAACTGGCGAGACCCCGATACCAGCAGCACACTCCGTCCCAGTCTCCGTGAGTGGGTATGCGGTGCGTCGCCTAGGGCGCTTGGGGGGAGGGAGGGGGGCTATCAGCACGACCACGTTTCCTTCCAACCATATTAGAAAAAAATGGAGCTGGAGTCCAGTTATGTGGCCGACATTATTTACGTACACCCAGTGTACTGGGTGTACAGTACTTAAAAGTACAGATTTCGATCCTAAGAGCACTGCCACCTGGTGGAGGCAAAAGTTAAGGCCTGTGATTAGTCAACTAGGGTGTATGGCATAACATATAGAAGGTGATAGCATAGGTAATTCGGTACTTGCCCCTACGTGCGAGATCACGTCCCTCGTCCTCGCCAACCGTCCCCACTGGTCTGTCCTCATCCGCCGAAGGCTCTCGCACGCCGTCGCTGTGCTCCAGGCCGATGGAGCCGCAGTACTATGTTCGGCAACGCCCGCTCGTACAGAATCGCATTGCCCATCGACTCGGCCACAGTGCCACCGGAGATCGCGAATCTCGAGCTAAGCTTACCCGATGCCAATCTTCGACACAGATTATGTAGTGCAGCTAGTTTCCATGGTTTGCCTACCGCGCTCGCGAGGACGACGAACCCTTCAGGCTACCCGGTCGTTCATTGTACTAGGGTTTTCTAGGAACCTGAATCAGTAACTAGAAGACATTGAGCAAGGGCAGTAAGTTGTGAACTTACCCTGTAAAGGAATACATGAAGGTTTGCCGTCCTCCTATTGTGCGTTTTAGTTTGTGAGCTCGATGCCGGAACCCACTACAAAGATACTTTTAGTTGAAAAAGGAAAGATGACTTAGATGATCGACGGCCAAGGCCGGGCAAGTGAAGAAGATAGTCATTGGCGAAGTGATGGTTGCGCCGGCGGTGGTTCCGCGCGCGCTGCAGCCGATTTTCGCGATCGTGAACGCACCTATGTCTTGCGAGAAGCGCTGCTGGAGTGCCGTAAGGAATACTTGGGGACACGGAGGTGTGGTATAAGATTTTTTTTAATTTGTTGCGGTTTTGACGACTATCTACTTCCGATACGGCGCGCTGCAGCGGCCTCGCCTACGGGATGCGTGCCTTCCGGACACAAACCCGCAGTAGTAGCCCATCGGAGGCTAGATACAAGTCGGCGAACGAAGATGTGAAGGCGGTGTTGCGGCCGGTGCGCAACTCGTTCGATGAGAACTTGTTCGAGACGATGTGCGAGACCCGATGGGACGTGGACTTCGAGGACTTGACGAACGAGTTCTTGGTGTAAAAATCACGGGGATGACGGCGAGCCTGAAGAACAGGGAACTGCAGACATGGACGGGATGATCGGTGACGAGGTGAAGCTCAACACTTCGATCTCCGACGTCGAGGCCAAGGTGACGGCGTACTTCTTGTCAACGAGATCATTATAAGCAACGGCATGCACGACCTTTTCGTTAGGTAGAAATGTGTGAAGCAGGTTATTGGAGGAGGAAGTTATTGCCGGAGGACTTGGGCAAGAAGGTGAAGAACGAGCTCGAGTATCGAAGTGGCGAAGCCAAGCGCGAGGAAATTGTACTCTGTGGTGAGTGCTCTTGCGTTAGCCGGACAAGGCGACCCGTGCGATCAAGGAACTAGGACCCTGAAGAGAGAAGTCTGGAAGGTTTCCCGGGGGTGCCAGCTCCCGTTCTAGTTTTCGTCAGATCAAGACCAGAAACACACTACTGTCAAGCTCCTAACAGCGTCAACTGCGTGCTTGCATCAGCGAAACCCACTACATATACTGTCCAAGCTCCTAGCAGCGTCAACCGCGCGCTTTCACCAGCGGGATACCGTCTGCAGCGCATAATGCCTTGGGATCACATCAGCGCCGACAACGACTAGCCTCAGCACCCTTGTTCTAGACGGGCGGGACACCACATCCATCGAGTACTCTACGTCACTCTATGCCGTCGTCAGGCGGTGAGGGATAAATATTGCGGCTATATGTGTATGGTGCGCCACTTGATTATGTTCCTGGCATGCGTCGACAGCACCAACATGAGGGACAAAGTCGCTATGGCGCCGCCAGTTCTCAGCTCCGTCTACAGGAACTGCAAGCCGACCAGTCGCCGACCAGTCGGTACCGACACCGTGCTGTATTGACTCAATACGAAACGCACCGAGATGACTGGATTCTACTGAAAGTCAAAATGACGAATCGGCCAAACGTTGCTACATGTCCACTCCATAAGTAGCCGGGATACTACAACTATGAAATGGACGAACGAAAATTGGCAATACGAATTCGAATCCACTTGACTTCATCTTCTGGAGATGGCGCCAGACAGCATCAGCAATACCAGACAGACAACTTCAGCAGCTACAGACGTAGCATTGGCGTGGGTTCGATTGGCTGGGTTTGCTTGGTGACGCATCCGAGACACACTCGCAATTCGTGTTGTACAGTATATTAGAAAATGAGCTCGTACGGATTTTTCGCGAAATGTTTTATGTAATTACGTGATGGGTAATTGTTTTTACGACGTTTTTACGAAATGGGTTTTTGTGCCCAAATTGAGATTACTGGCTCCTGCGCGTTTGATGTCGCCCCTCCTGCATTTCATACAAACAATATGACTGGTTTGGACGTCGATTACCCAGATGTCGCCCTTCCTCTTTTCTATTCAAAACATAAAATGTTTTCGCATGTCAACCCGTGGATATGTCGCCTATCACCAACTAATATTTTATTTAAGAGTTGCTTGACACGTCAACATTTTACCGTGGGATCGGCGCTACGAAAGCGTCATTCAAAATATTTCCTCGCCGTGAAAGTGCTGCTGCAGCAGAGCAAGACAGGACGTGGGTTACGGCATCACTCGTCGAGAAGGCTCAAGGCTTGTGGAGTGTCAAAATCTATCTCGGTTGTTTCACGAATGTGATGCCAAGACACTCCTGCGTTTGCCGTCGACGCTCCTCCTGGAGTTTTGTACTGAGAGAGGGTGCTGTTCACAACGGCGCCGGGCAGCTCCGTGCGCGTCATGGTGCTTTCAATCAAGCCCAGAGGCGCCCTGGCGAAATTGAAGTTCCACAATTGCAGACTGAACGCATGGAATTTTACATGTAGATGTGCAGTACTATTACAAGCAATTATATCGCCCGTATCGTGTTTAATCCTATTGGAGAATCAATAGCGATCCGTTCTAGCATACAGTCGTGTACAATGCACGTCTTGTAATCGGATCACTGTTCAGCCAATGGCAGTGTACAGTAGTCAAGCAATGTAGAGCGTTGTTATTCGATGCCGTGGACTTGGCAGCGCCAGCATGCATTGCACTCGACTCCGTTGGTTTCTACGCGACTCGGGTCACTCCAGGCCATTCTTCGACGCCATCTGCCAGGACAGGAGCCTCCCGTTCCCCTCCCTTGTTCACCTGCGGCGCCCAGAAGCCGTCCGCAGCGCCAAAAAGCTTGTTGAGAGCGGTGCGTTGCGATCGGTGAACAGAGCTACACCGGATGTCGACACCTACACCTATTCATGGTACTGTCGGATCCTCGAATCGACAGCTTGCAGCCAACAACAGTAGCTCACGCTACTGGCGGCCACACCAGCTTCTGTAGCCAACAACAGTAGCTTACGCTACCGACGGCCACTCCACGGCAGGCCTCGATGCAGCTTGTCAGCGGCGTGAACCTCCCCCGCATCGCCCGAAGTGCTTCAGCGCAGCAGCCGCCAGCGGCCGGCATTTTTTTCTCACGGATTTATGGCACATGGTACCACAATTGGCGTCCTTCCACCACAGATGGTACATGGTACCATAATCGCGTCCTTCCAGCACAGATGCGAGCCGGCGTTGCCGACAACCGACTGACATAGTACCGCGGCTCCATCGGCCTAGAGCACAGCGACGGCGTGCGAGAGCCTTCGTTGGATCAGGACAGACTGGTGGGGAAAGCAGGCGAGGACAACGGGTGTGATCTCGCGCTATTGCAGCGCTGGCGTGGTAGTATTGTGGGGGTACTGGTCGTGTCCATGGCCAGCGTGGCGGCGTTGACCGCAGTCGATACTGATTTGATCAGAAAAAGCTGTTTTAGGCGTTGCGGACGGCAATCCGTTGACGGTGGCACGCCGTTCGGTCAACAGCGTTTCCATTAGTGATGGGAGCTGTGAAGCTCGATTTCGTTGAGTAATATTTGAAGCTGCGTACTACACTGAGCAGCTTATGCTGGCAAGCACACATCAAGCATGTTGGCTAGGACGGTGTTGAATATCTTTGAAAAAATAAAACAAACAGGTAGCTAGAGGAAAAAGCAAAGGATATGTATTTGAAGCGTGTTAGTTGCCTGCAATACCGTTAGCACGCTCAACCTGCTCTCGGTCCGCAGGTACCAAGTTCGAAAGTGGCTCCAGTGTATTGGGCCAGTTCATCAAGACCCTGAGGTCGCCGTCCGCTGGATAGTGAATCCCCCGTATACCCTCGTAGTGGTATGTAGGAGGCCCGACAGGCATTTGCTGTGGTCGGCGCAGGTACCTTGCAAGGGCGCGTGCATCCGCAGGGTACAAGGCGGAAAAAGGTTCGAGCGTGTCCTCCCATTCCACCCACGCTCGGATCTCTCCATCTGTCATTCGCTCAGTACCAACTACGCGCACGTAGGGATACGCCCTCTCCTCAGGTGGTACTTCATCAACTTGCGGCGGGTCCTCGTCAGTCTCGGACTCAGCGTCAGTCGTCTCTCCTGGTGAGCCGGGCGGAGGACTAGAGGCTGTCGGGGCACTAGCTGCTCTCGGCGGACTAGAAGCTCTCGGCGGACTAGGAGCTCAAGGAGGACTACCTGCTCTCGGTGGACCGGGAGCTATCGCCAAGCTAGGAGCACTCGTCGTCCGACGAGCTCTCTCTGGACTAGGAGCTCTCGCCGGACTAGGAGCACTAACGCCATGCACACCTCCTTCTTCCTCTTTCTCTTCGCCTTCGTCATACGTGTAGTCTTCGTCGCTAGCGAAACCGTCGTCACTGATCTGGCTGGTCGTCGCAGCGCTGACCGCGTCGATCTCTTGATTGCCGGACTTCGCCGAGCATGGAGCTCCCAGGGAACTGATATCTCTCGCTGGACCAGACGCTGTCAGCACACCAGAAACTCTCGTTAGGTCAAACGCTGTCGGGGGGCTTGGTGATGTAGGAGGACTTGTCGGGACAGAAGCTGGTGATTGTGGCGATCGCAACGGAGCTCTTGGCGGGGGCGTCGGGGCGGACAGAGATGGATGCGGAGTCAGCAGCGGGAACGCGGCAAGCAATGACGAGGCTTGTCCCTGCTGGGGGTGAAAGTCCTGCTGATGCTGACGCTGCTGCTTGGTACTGCGCTGATGCCTGCGGTGAGCCGATCTCCTCGCCATGACCACCAAGGTCGTGGGTAGGAAAGTACCAAATGACCAGGTCGACAGTGCGTTGCGCCTTTAGAGTTATTTTTTTCTTCTTCTAAACCCGGCTTGACTATACATGTAGTAGACGCATGTGCTTTTGGTCGAACGTGGTGGAGTCCATCGCCAAGGCCGGTGATATCTCGCATTACCCATGGCGCGACAGCTCGGCTACCTGGTTAGCCCGTCCCTCTCTAGGGCTCTCGCACGGCATGTCGCCATAGAGCCAATCGAGCCACGATAGTTCCCAGCCGGGCGTTGACAACACGACCTGTGGATGTAGTGCACGACCACGTTCACAAACGCATCGTATCTATCGTCTTCTTGCCATGGTGCCGTCGAGACACACAGCTCTGGTCCGTCCTCGACGTAGCTTGCCACCTGTCGCCAACAGTGATCAGGCTAGAAATGCACAAAAGCGCACAACACAAGCGCTTCTTGTTCACATCGTTGCCCACAACGACCAGAGCCGACACGCTGGCCGTAGATACGAGCAGTGACGCCACGATACTACCACGACAGCGCTGTAATAGCGCGAGATCACGTCCTTCGTCCTCGCCTGCTTTCCCCACCAGTCTGTCCTCATCCACCGAAGGCCCTCGCACGCCGTCACTGTGCTCCAGACCGATGGAGCCGCAGTACTGCGCCGATCGGTTGTCGGCAGCGCCGGCTCGCATACGCGATTATGGTACCATGTACCATATGTTGTGGAAGGACGCCAATTGTGGTACCATGTGCCAAAATCCCGTGAGACAAAAAAGCTCAGCGGAAGCGATGCGGACGACACCATCGCCAACCAGACACGTTGGAATCTGGAGGTTCATGCGGTGACTGCGTCGAGGACTGCCGTGTTTTTTTTCTTTTCTTCTTCAAAATGGTTCCATATTTGTTGTCATGCGGCTCGGCCCGATTGCCCGCACGCCTAGCGCTCGTCGCCAGCTCACTCTCACTCTCACTCCGAGTTTCGCAGGCATTCATGGACTCCTCTTGCGACGGCAGCAGCGGAGCCGATAGCGAGGTCGGTCGACACGAGGCAGCAGCGGATTCTAGTTGTGAGGAGGACGAAGAAGCGGTGGTGACGCTCTCCGTGAAAGAGCTTGAGTTGTGGAGGCAAATAGTTATTTTGCAGGTTGAAGACCATTTTACGAGTAGGTTCGGTGTGTATTGGTTTAGGGTTTAGTGGTTTAGTGTTTAGTGCTGCTGCTGACGCATTTTTGATGACAGACGAGCAATTGAAGAGGATTGCAGAATTAGGACGTGTGCACGGGACCGTAGTGCGAGAAGCCACGCAGTACGTACACAACATGGAGGTGCAGTTGAAGCAACAGTTCGAAGCAGACTGTGCGGGGGTGCGTGCACAGGCCGAGGAGTTCGTGGCGAAAGCGAGGGCGGATAACAAAGCGCTCAAGCGCCGGGTAAAGGAGTTGGAGGTGCAGGCCAATGAGCTGAAAGCGAAGAAGGCGCAGAAAAACTAGTCGCTATAGCAGAATTGAAGAGCTCGTAGTCCTAACCAGAAAATGCACAATGAATTTGATTTGATCTCTACTATAACGTCGCCGTCGACTGCCTATCGAAGCGGCCCGTGTGCTTGCCGTCCATTCTGTCTTAGAGCTGCTGCGGTCGGCATGTCGCCAGCATAGACGTGCTGGTCGGAATGATGTTGGTGGCAAGCCACGTCGAGGAGTAGCGTGGAGAGGGTCGAGGTGCGTGTTTTCTGGCGGCGGTGTGGCCGCGTCGAGTGACAATGCCATTCTGTACTAGCCGGAGCTGCTGACAACCTACCGACAAAGTACTGCGGCTCCATCGGTCTGGAGCACAGCGACGGCGTGCGAGGGCCTTCGGTGGATGAGGACAGACTGGTGGGGAAAGCAGGCGAGGACGAAGGACGTGATCTCGCGCTATTACAGCGCTGTCGTGGTAGTATCGTGGCGTCACTGCTCGTATCTACGGCCAGCGTGTCGGCTCTGGTCGTTGTGGGCAACGATGTGAACAAGAAGCGCTTGTGTTGTGCGCTTTTGTGCATTTCTAGCCTGATCACTGTTGGCGACAGGTGGCAAGCTACGTCGAGGACGGACCAGAGCTGTGTGTCTCGACGGCACCATGGCAAGAAGACGATAGATACGATGCGTTTGTGAACGTGGTCGTGCACTACATCCACAGGTCGTGTTGTCAACGCCCGGCTGGGAACTATCGTGGCTCGATTGGCTCTATGGCGACATGCCGTGCGAGAGCCCTAGAGAGGGACGGGCTAACCAGGTAGCCGAGCTGTCGCGCCATGGGTAATGCGAGATATCACCGGCCTTGGCGATGGACTCCACCACGTTCGACCAAAAGCACATGCGTCTACTACATGTATAGTCAAGCCGGGTTTAGAAGAAGAAAAAAATAACTCTAAAGGCGCAACGCACTGTCGACCTGGTCATTTGGTACTTTCCTACCCACGACCTTGGTGGTCATGGCGAGGAGATCGGCTCACCGCAGGCATCAGCGCAGTACCAAGCAGCAGCGTCAGCATCAGCAGGACTTTCACCCCCAGCAGGGACAAGCCTCGTCATTGCTTGCCGCGTTCCCGCTGCTGACTCCGCATCCATCTCTGTCCGCCCCGACGCCCCCGCCAAGAGCTCCGTTGCGATCGCCACAATCACCAGCTTCTGTCCCGACAAGTCCTCCTACATCACCAAGCCCCCCGACAGCGTTTGACCTAACGAGAGTTTCTGGTGTGCTGACAGCGTCTGGTCCAGCGAGAGATATCAGTTCCCTGGGAGCTCCATGCTCGGCGAAGTCCGGCAATCAAGAGATCGACGCGGTCAGCGCTGCGACGACCAGCCAGATCAGTGACGACGGTTTCGCTAGCGACGAAGACTACACGTATGACGAAGGCGAAGAGAAAGAGGAAGAAGGAGGTGTGCATGGCGTTAGTGCTCCTAGTCCGGCGAGAGCAGGTAGTCCTCCTTGAGCTCCTAGTCCGCCGAGAGCTTCTAGTCCGCCGAGAGCAGCTAATGCCCCGACAGCCTCTAGTCCTCCGCCCGGCTCACCAGGAGAGACGACTGACACTGAGTCCGAGACTGACGAGGACCCGCCGCAAGTTGATGAAGTACCACCTGAGGAGAGGGCGTATCCCTACGTGCGCGTAGTTGGTACTGAGCGAATGACAGATGGAGAGATCCGAGCGTGGGTGGAATGGGAGGACACGCTCGAACCTTTTTCCGCCTTGTACCCTGCGGATGCACGCGCCCTTGCAAGGTACCTGCGCCGACCACAGCAAATGCCTGTCGGGTCTCCTACATACCACTACGAGGGTATACGGGGGATTCACTATCCAGCGGACGGCGACCTCAGGGTCTTGATGAACTGGCCCAATACACTGGAGCCACTTTCGAACTTGGTACCTGCGGACCGAGAGCAGGTTGAGCGTGCTAACGGTATTGCAGGCAACTAACACGCTTCAAATACATATCCTTTGCTTTTTCCTCTAGCTACCTGTTTGTTTTATTTTTTCAAAGATATTCAACACCGTCCTAGCCAACATGCTTGATGTGTGCTTGCCAGCATAAGCTGCTCAGTGTAGTACGCAGCTTCAAATATTACTCAACGAAATCGAGCTTCACAGCTCCCATCACTAATCGAAACGCTGTTGACCGAACGGCGTGCCACCGTCAACGGAGTGGCGTCCGCAACGCCTAAAACAGCTTTTTCTGATCAAATCAGTATCGACTGCGGTCAACGCCGCCACGCTGGCCATGGACCCGACCGGTGCCTCCACGATACTACCACGGCAGGGCTGCAATAGCGCGAGATCACGCCCGTCGTCCTCCCAAACCGTCCCCACCAGTCTGTCCTGATCCAACGAAGGCTCTCGCACGCCATCGCTGTGCTCCAGGCCGATGGAGCCGCAGTACTATATCGGTCGGTTGTCAGCATCGCCGGCTCGTACATAATGGCATCGCCACTCGATTTGGCAACAGTGCCTCTAGGTAACGCGACGCTCGGCTATTCCTCCCCTGCACAATGGCATGGTCTCCTTTCAGCAGCTCCGTCCGCATCCGCATACGCCGAGTACCGGATCTCCCGCGACACGCGCTCGTAGTCATCACCTTTCGTGGTCGCTCGCTTCACCTCGTCAACCCTTCGGACATGGAAAATAATTCCAAACCTCTCGCACCAGCGACGCACGTATTTACACTCGGCTTCGCTCTCGGCGCGGTTGCCGTAGTCAAGATGCACTGCAACCCTCCGTGCTTGTCACTCAGCTTGTGCATTAGGTTAGGTACGCCACCACCATCGAGTCCACTCCCCCAGACAGCGACACTGCCGGGTGCGAGTGCTCACGCGCCTTCATCTCCGTCAGATACTCATCCATCGCCCGGTACAGCCGATTCCTGGGCATGTCACTCTCGTCCGGCTCCGTGAACGCGCGTTCTAGGATGTCGCCGTCCGAAATGCCACCCGTCGTCGTGTCCGTGACCGGTCCTCCTCGCAGGTGCTGCAGTCTGCCGGTCGTCGTGTGCCGGAACTTTGCTCCTGCAATTAGCATTAGAGAAGCTTCATGAGATTGCAGCAGTTTAGCAAGACGAACGATCGTCGTTGGCAAAAATGTTCATCCGTGGCACTTAGTGCTGGTTCCCATAATTTGTTATGTGCAATACTCTGCCAGAACCCTGGACAGAACACAAATCATAATGTAGCCACAGCCGTCGCTCGTGACCGGCGGTGCCGTAATCTGTGTAATAATGCGTAGCGACAGTACTAATGCGTAGTGACTGGGCGGATGGCCTGTTTTTGCTCGCTCCTCTCCTTAGATGTGAAATAGCGACATATTCCCGCATATATGGTTTTGTATAACATGTGAAAAATATGCCAGTATGTGTGTATGTAAGTTCCGTATGTCAGCAGATCCGACGAGTAAATATTTCACTTGACGGATCGTCCGACATTGGTGAATGAGGGGTTAAGTACGTGAAACACGACATTGGTCGTAACACCTGAAGGGTGAATTTGACTCACCCATTAAACCCGCCCGCACGTGCATCGTCGGCGCCGGTTCGGCACCCAAAGTGAGAGCTTGCAAGCCTTCAATAGCCCGCCAAAGCCATAGCCATAGACCCCTACCGTAAGGGCCTCTTTCATGAATCTTTTGCTCGAATATATATCAGAGTGTGGGTACAATAACAACATACACTTGAAGTTTGTATTGCAACAAACTGACCACACCGACGTTTAGCGCACTTGGCCTTTTCCCGCCTTCCGCGCACGTTGTTCCCTCGCCCATCTCGGCCGTGCCATGGATTCCGCTCCGATCTCGACGGCGCAGGACGTCGCGGCGCTGCAGGCGCTGAGCCCGAAGCCGCACCAGTTCATGTTCATGTCGCTGCTGAAGTAGGCGCTGGCGCTGGGGCATCTGCTGCAGAGCGCGCTGCCGCCCCAAGACCCCCAGCAACAGCATCAAAATGAACCCAAACGCGGACTCTTCCGCCGCAACAGCACGTCGTCGTCCAAGAAGAAGCCCAAGAAGGAGCGCAAGAAGCAGAACCGGTACACACGTTGTCGCCGCGAAGGCGAGGGTGTGATGGAGTATATAGGCGACTTACAACCGATGTGCGGCGCATGGATATCACATTGGCAGAGAGAGAGAGAGATGGAAAGCATCGTGCTGTCGAATCCGGTGGCAGTCTATCTGTCCATCGTCAACAGCGTGTGCCCCGACTGCGTGGTGGTTATAAGAAGGGACATGAATATGCGGTCAACCTCTTGCTTGTAGCCGATCGCACAGGCCGCGACCAGCTCAGCCGTGGCAATCGTGACGTATGTTTTGTGGTAATTTCACTAAAAGCCTCCTCTACCCAAAGGTATTAGAGACACCAACAACACGCTAACCCGCAAAGGTAAACGCTAATTGGATCAAAACCTGAAGACCAGGGACGATCCCTTACACCGGGTCGGTTGCAAACGCCTCTGTGCACCTTAGGTTGGCTTCGGTCTACCCAAAAACCTGTACCACTAGCCACGAGACCAGACTAGGATACTATGCAGTGCTTTCACGCAGCCTCACTGCAGTCCCTCAGCAAGGAAGGGTACCGGCGTGTTAGCCCTTATACAGCGGGGCCAAGCTAAACATCGGCTGGTAGACTAATAAACTCAGGGACACTATAATCCCACAAATATACACTGAACGATACTCTAATACCGTTCCTGCCTCTCCGGCCACGCCCAACTCTTGGCACTGCCAAGGAAACTCTCGGCCAATGCACGATAAGCTCCCCAACAGGCATCCACACGCAGCCGAGCGTGTCCAGGTACTACAATAAGCTATTTACACTTACCAAACTCGGACTTAACCCTTTTGCGCCAGTCTACAGGGCCATAAACCGTGTTTGGGCTTGTGTGCTCTCGTAAAAACCCACAGTTTAACTGTGACATAGGCACACACTTCGGATAGGGGCAACCCTCCCATTTTACTAAAATCACCGCGTTCTCATGAAAGAGATCCAATAAACATGTAAGATAGCTTTAACTTCATACAGATCTTAACCATTGTCTGGTTCATCATTATCTTCAGGCATTAGAGCGGCATCGCCGTCTTCCTTGCGCACCTCAATTTTAACTGTAGGTCCGTTTGGGACAACCGCACGCGGCTTGAGCCCAATTGAGCCCAATTCAGTGGACCGTCGACTGTCGAAGGCTCGTCGAAATCTGTTTAATCTTCCTTTGGACTGGGTTAGCCGTCTCCGAGCACATACTTCATCTACAAGCATCGGGTCGAGTACGACAACGTCCGTGGTATCCTTAACAGGGTGATCATGACCTAGAACATGCACTGGATACCCTCGAATTTTCTCTCAGACTGAATTAGACAAAGCCTCCAATATTTCGCGGTCCGTCAAAGCAAGGATTATTCCCCCGATGTGGTTCGGGTGTTGTCACGACCGCCGCTTGCTCGAAGATGGGGGTGCCCACGAGTGGGGTTTTGCGCCAAACAAAAGTTGGTGAGGCGTTGCTGCATGCCCGCGCTTAAGGATTCGATTGTGAATGTACGCTGCTAATTGCAGTGCATCTCTCCACAGGTAGTGTGGTAAATATTTGTCTTGCAGCATTGCAGCGGCAGCTTTTGCGAGTATCTGGATCGCTCGCCCTGCCACCCCGTTTTGGCTACTATGGTCGCGGGTAGTGCGACGATACCTAACGCCTTCTCGAGAAACCAATTGACGAATGTCATCGCCTACAACTTCGTTCCGCTGTCCGTGCGAACGGTTTTGATACTGGTAGCGGGTATTCGTGCTTGACGCTCGATGACCCTGAAGGATCCCTCAGTATTTGACCTGTCCCATCCTTGTGCAACAGTCCATAGAACGTTATGTAGTCGCGACACGAAAGTACCATGAAGTATTCATTTCCGTGGTACGACTACTTTACTGGTCCGCTGAGATTCTACATTGTATATCAGGATTTTATTATTGGCACTTCCACCTACACAACAGGCCCCCATCGGTGATATAGATATTGTATATGGCTCTTCCATGGAGCATAGAGTGGAGTGCCGAGCGTTTCGCGTACAAGATTACCGACGCTGATGTCGAACGCAAATAGCTGCCTTGGTCACGCCTCGTAACCTCGACGCCTCCATCGTCTGGGGGTGCTGAAGGCTCATTCCGAGAGCGTGATAATTGACGGGCTGGGTGCTGCTACAGTATCAACGAAGGACATTGGTCAATGGCCGGCTCGGACGTTGGAAGCTGCGGGATAACGAGCCCGGACCAGCTATGAGATGCTACATGAGCTGAAATCTGGTGCGAGGTCCTTCAACGCATGAACGAGTTGTTGCCGGATGCATCCGTGCTTGGGTTACTTGCTTTTGGACAAACAGTCGCAATCACGTTTGTCGTTTTTGCCTTCGCCATCCTCCAAGTCACCGTTGAAATCATCCCAGAAATCGGTGTTGTTTCATCATCCCTAAGCGAGTCTGGTTTCGCCGGCAACGGATCGCTGGCTAGCTCAGATTGGTATCTTGAACATCCTTGATAACAGCCTCGTAGTATGCTGCGGGCATTGAGCCAAGGTGTCGCCCGAGCACTGAGGTTTTGCGCTTGGACGGACTTGAATCTGACCCGTCTGTTGTGGACTTGCGATACTGGGACGAAGGCTTGCCGGCAATTCCTCCGGCTTCGCGAGCTCTGATGAGAGGCAATATACCACCTGCATGCCTTTGCTAGATCCTGCTTAGGTAGCTCCGTCAGACTTAGGCACAACGGGGCTTTCGGCTGCTTGTGTGGCTGACTCAGAGGCGGAGCTGGGACTTATTTTGGTGTTGGAACTGCCGGGTAAGCTGGAACCGGTGGTGACGCTGATGGGCTGACGAACGACGACAACACTGAGGTCGTGGTGCTTAGAGCTGCCGGCGCTCCCCCTTTGCTAGGGTCGCGATCTGGAATGGCGTGAAGGGGCCACTGTGTCGAGTGTTGTCGGTGACATGACCATATCTCGCACAAAGTACTGTAGAACTCGTACTACTGTTCCTAATGGCTCAAGATGTTGCTATCCGTCATCCGATAGCTCACCAACGCCTCAGTTGAAAATGAAGTCACTGTTGCCAGTTGATTTCCTGGGCGGAGTGCTGCGGAACTCGCGGGTACTCAAGCTGTTCTTATAAGGTAGAAAGTGAACCCTCGGTTTGATCTGGTGACATCAATATTCTGTACTTCTCTGGCCCACTTAAGAAACAACATTCGGAATTAAACCTCAATTTGATGTGGACCACATATCACATATGATTGGGTATAATCACTAAAACCTAGTGTTGCCTAAAACGGACTTCAGATAAAAGGCTGTTTCTCTTTTTACTCTGCTGCTAGATTTTTAAAATGTACCATGAAACGGAGCAAATGCTCAGCTTTATTTTAAGGCCTCACGCGTCACCTAACGATTTTTGTATAAAGTTATGCCCAGAAAGCCATAGGGTTGTTTCTTATGTGAGCCAGAGATGTATTTTGAAAACTTAAGACCGTGATTGACTTCTGCTCAACACGATTCGTCTAACGCCGCCATCCTTGTGAAATATCAAGATAGTTGACAAAACTAGTCGCGTTGTGTGTCACGAAAAGGTACCGAAGTACACTATTTCCGAATAACAACTAAATAGGGCAACGATACGTGAGCCCGGTTACCTCTGCATGATACCGAGCAGCTTCCCCCCAAAGGTTTCGAATCTCGTGTTGCAGAGCCTTCTCCATGCTGGTTGTTGCGTGAACGGTGTAACTGAGCCTGGAGCCTGGTGATCTCAGCATGATGCCGGGCAGGTACCCCCCCCCCACATGCGCTGTGCATGCCAACGTTGAAAGTTGCGTCGTCACGATCCCATTGTGAATGCACTGATGCCAACTCCGAGAATGATAACTTAGAACCAGGAGCACATGTTATAAGGCTTCACCAGGTTTGGAATCAGAACCAATCTGCCAGATTTCCAAGCCCTAACACTTCTAGATCACTCAAGCACAGATTCATAGATTTTTCTTGATAGTTGGAGCTTGACCCAGATTCCGA